GATGAAGAGGTCGAGGACTCGGACTCCAACAGCGATTCTTCGGATGACGATGGCACGATGATGACCATCGACGACAATGAGGTCACTGGCGCATCAGTCATGTCTGGTCGTACGGTCGCATCCGACGACGAGAACGACACCCTAGATGAGGCTCTGAGGATGGCTGCGCGACAGGCAGGAACTCAGCGGCTTGGTTCGGACGACGATGAGGAGGAGGAGGAAGTCATTCCCTCCTTCGGCTGGATCAAGAAGAAGCCACAAGACGAGGGTGCCAAGGACCAGGAGAACGCCCCTCCCCCGCCTGCGCGCAAAAGTCCTCCCGAAGACGAAGACGACGATGACATGGATATGGATATGGACATCACCTCAGCGGTTGGTGGCATTATGAAAGACAAGACCTCTCAGAGTGCTTTCGACCCCAACGAGGACATGTCCATGGATGTCACACGTGCTATCGGCGGTATTCTGTCCCGAGTCAGCCAACAAGCTGCCGAGCCGAGCCAGGAAGACCAGACCATGGAGTTTACTACCGCCGTTGGAGGTATACAGAAACAGAATCCCAACGACACCTTGTTAGACGAGGGCGAAGATGAGGACATGTCTATGGAATTCACAACTGTCATTGGTGGTCTTCTGCCGTCCCAGACCAAGAGAGACACATCCCAAAAGCGTCGCAGGACCATGACTACGCGCGACAACTCGGTCATGGACGAGTCAACAATGGACATGGACATGACTGTTGCCATGGGTGGCATTCTCCCTGCGGCTGATAAGACGCTTCATGGTGATGAGACACTGGGCATGGACATGACCGTTGGACTGGGCCGGATCATGTCATCACCAGACAAGCCGATGGAAGAAGATGACGCTACAGGGGGCATGGATATGACCGTTGGCGTTGGAAAGATTCTGGGCGCTGCTATCGCTTCTCCGGAGAAGGATGAGCCTACCATGGACATGGATATCACCACAGCTGTTGGAGGTATTCTGCCGACTTCTGAGGCGGCTGATGCAGAGGACACCACGATGGGCATGGACATGACTGCAGCTGTTGGAGGCATCATCGGAGGACCTCAATCACCAGAGGCTCGCATTGCCGCAAAGAAGCTTATGGAGGAGGAGGTCGACAAGCCCGACACGCCCTCCAAGACCATGTCTGTGAAGCCAGCATCGCCTGCAAAGAAGCTGGCTGCGTCGGTCAAGAAGAACGCCCCGGCAGACAGCCCTGGCTTCAACCCGTTCCAAGGCAGAAGCCTCCGCAACAGCATGCCTCGTGCGAGCCTGTTTGGCGAGTCGCCAGCTAGGAGTCCTTCCAAAAGCCCAGAGAGGAGTATCAGGACACCTAGCCCTCCGAAGTCTGCAGCGCCACCACCAGTGGCCACGACTCCGTTGGACAGCTCGCCAGTCAAGACACCCCAGTCTTCCAAGAAGCGAGGACGTCCCAAGTCACCGACCAAGTCGATTCCCAAGTCTGCTTCAAAATCACCAACGAGAAAGCCCACGACACCATCACTTGAAAATACTGCCAACCGTTTGAACGTCTTTCAGCAAGATCCGGCAACTGGAGCAAGAACACCCACTGTTGTTCTCACTCCCCAGCCCCGCAGACATTCTGGTGTCGGCGCAGACAAGCCTGGACTGGGATCTCCCCGCGTTGCTGCTCTTCTTGACCGACGAGGATCTCTTGGCGAAGCCGCCCAGCAGTTCGTACCCGGAAAGACCCGCGGAGTCACCTTTGGGGATCCAAAGGTCATTGAGATTGAAGTCGACAGAGACCGCCAAGATGAAGAAGACAAAGAGAACGGCCGTACAATCCTCGAGCGCGAGGCGGATGGCGAAAATGAGAAGGACGCAACGCTCAACCTTAGGGAGATGATTGACAGCTTGAGCCCGAAGAAGAAGCGCCTCCAGGGTCGCAAGAGTCTCCACGTCGGAAGCGCCAAGGGCCTGCTTGGCAAGCGTCCTGCCGAGCTTGATGACGAGGAGGAGCGCGAAGACAACGACGGCGTCAAGAGACTCAAGGGACACCAAGGAAGTCCTGTGAAAAACGTCAAGTTGGCACAGCCCCCTAGCAAGGCCGACACTACTGGTCGCAGATTGACTCGTTCCTCCCAACGTTTCTTGGAGGAAGATACCACAACCAAGGCAACGCCGACACATTCTGAGTCGCCATTGAAGAGTGGAAGCACGGCCAAGTCCCCTCACGGACAAGGACGCTTCAGAGATGTTGAGGATGATACCGCCACTCACCCCATGAACCTCGATGGCTCGCCTGTTCGACCAGACAATGAGCTCATGAACGACGAGTCGGAAGAGCGCATTCATCTTCAGGACTTTCTCAACATGACTTCCATCCGCTTCATGGAGTTGACGACAACAAAGCGAAGGCATACTCAGGCACCAGACATGTTTAGAGAGATGGGTGGGAAAGAGGACTTGTCTTTGGAGCGCTGTGTCGTTGCCGGCGCTTGCACGGTACCAATGCTGGAACTTTACCAACACTCATGCCGCGAACTGAAGAAGTACATCTCCGAGGGGCGCAGAATCGTTCGTGAGATTGAGTCCGAGACCTTTGAGGAGAACCCGCCTCTCTTCCGGGAGTACATGTCCGCCTCTCCCGATTTCAAGAATATCCTCGACAACCAGTTCAAGAACGGCAAGACCCATGCGCGCCTCGAGAGCAAGGCCATGTGGTACGAGTGGCGAATGAAGCTCCAGGAGGGTCTGAAGGAGGGGCTTATCAGAATTGCCGAGGGAATGAAAACCGATGAAAAGGTTCTCCAGCAGCAACAAAAGCTGCTCGCCTCCACCCTTCCTGCGATAGTGTCTCGCTTCACCGAACTTGAGCAAGAGTATAGCAACCTGCAGGCCGTCGCCAATGAACTGGCGGACTGCGACCCAGAGGAACTCGAGACCGCCAGGGCTGATCTCGCAGAGGTCGAAAGCGACGTTCAGGAAAAGACTCAACTCATTGCCGAGCTCCGACAAGAACTCGAGGATGCCGAGCGTGGTGTTGAGACCCTCACGCAGGAGAAGCAGCAGTGCCACGAGGATATCAAGGAAGCGGAGAAGATTCGCGAGGAATGCCGCGGCTGGTCGACAGGTGAAATCAGTGCACTCAAGGGTATGTAAAACGTGGATTCCGTATCTTGTGCTTCGCTAACTTGACCTCAGGACGAGTCGATGCCCTGGAGAAGCAGCACGGTTGGGCCGTCACTGGCGTTTCCGGCAGCCAAATCTCCATGACGTACCTCCGCGAGATCGAGATTGTGTTCGACATTGCATCCTTCCAGCCCCGGAAGAAGAACGCGAGGATCGACTTGTGGTACATTGCCGCGAATCGCGCATCCAAACCCGTGCCGTCGACGCCGGAGAAGGAGTTTTTCCTGGAATGCATTCGGGACCACATTCGTGGGCTGCCGCAGAGCCGCACTAAAATTGCGGATCTCCTCCACATGGTTCGCACTGCGTGGGACAAGGCCAATTCCACCTCCAATCATGTCCGTCGGCTGAACATCACCTTCCCGACCACCGTTGCGAGAGTTTCTGACTCGTCTATCGCGGTCAAGTCTTCACTTCTCATGGCGCCGCTGGAGACCAAGGTGGAGATTGCTCTCGAGATCAGGGGAGCGAGCAAGCCTGACGGCGTCGATTTCTCGCTTCATCCTGAGGCCACGGTTGTATACGGAGAGCATTTCAATACTCCCAAGATTGCGGAGTTCTTGTCCACTCATTTGGGTGAGATGGCTTTTTCTCAAGAGGAAGGCGCCCCTTCATGGAGCGATGTGGTTGTGGACCTTCATGAGAGACTTCTGGCAAGAGGAAAGAAGCAGTAGGAGTAGCAGGTTTACGTTTGGCTGCAGGCATTACTAGTTCTACCTTGTAATGAGTGATGATGGTGGATTATTGTTGCTGGGATTATGTCGGTGGGAGGCAGGTTTGGTTTAATGGCGCCGTGAGGATACCCTGTGTGTAGTCGAATAAGGTACATTTGGTTTTGTTATTGTCGTATTACTTTACCCAAATGAGATTATCTCTGGTCAATTATTTGCATCTTGCTCTTGAAGGCGTGATCGTCAACCAAATTTGGGTTCTGCGGTTGAATGTGGTGTCAGCATCACGATGTGATTGAAATGGGTGCTTAATATCAGTTGCCAGCAAAAAATAGGAAAGAATAGGGATCAATTCCAAGTAGAAAAAAAAATCCACAATCGCGAGACGTAAACGGAAGATCGCCAATGTCGACTGAGCTTGCGGCCTTTGTCCCAATTTCCTGTGACTGATAACAAGTATTTGTTCTCGAGTATCGAAACATTGCAATCCCAATTTTCATGTGAACATAGAATGACATGAGCACAATGAAATAGAGCGCGTGCTGCAAACGTCGTTTAGACTAAAGGACGTTGGCAAACGGACTGAATCAAACGCGGCCAGACGAAGTAAGTGGGGGCGCTCGGTGAGGTCCGCTCACCGAGAACATCACGATTGCAACGTCGTTTTTCCAAGGGCTGCTTTTTGTGCGCTCCTGATTCCTTCGCCAACCTGAAGAAAGTTTCACCAGAATATAATTGACGTCACTAGGGCAACGAATAGAATAATTGGGTGCGACGGGCTCAGGTCCCCTGAAGGGACCGCTGCGTTTGGTGCCTTAGGGTGCTGGAGCGTTGGCATCTCAACTTCACTTCACCCCGATTAGGAAATCCTCAGCTCACCCGCCCCACTCTACCGCCTCAGGCACGTGATCGACCTGCCCTCGTCCAGTCAGTCTATTCAATCTCGTCCCCCGACTCGGTTTTTGAAAAAAACCTCTTCCTGTTCCCTTCTTCGCCAACGTTGAGTCGAGATACCTTCCTACATTCGCCGCTTTTCAGCAGCCTTTCATCGCTTTTTAGCACGAACTCATCTCAACATCAGCGACAGCTCCCCTTTTTTCGTCTTAGGACGCTACTTTACCTTACCTACCTTCCTCTAACCAAAGATTCCACACTCCACTCGCCATCATGGCCACGGAAGTCTTCATCGACAAGGCCAACCTGGTTCTCCAGACGGCCGCCAATCATCCATTCCTCGCGGTTCTTGTCTACCTGGCCAGCATGGCAATCTCTCGGGTCTGGCACTCTGCCAGATTCGCCGAATGTTGGTACCAGTTGACTGGTGGACTGCTTGGTCGGATGTTGGTGGACGTCGCTAGCTCTGTCGCCTGGCCCCTGAAGCTTATCATTGCCTACATGGCTTTATTCTGGCGGACGTTGATCTCTTTCGGTTACGAAATCCCAACGGATTCGGCCCAGTGCCAATTCGCAAAGCCCGGGACTTCTGGACCCCGGCCTGGTACCCTCTTCGACGGACTCCCCTAGCAAGGGAGCTCGACGAACGAGAGCCCAGTTATGTGAGCCTCCTCTCCTTCTACTCTCAAGTGCATTGCAGATTGCTAATTTAGCCGTTAGACCCCCCGGTCCACCGCCTCCAGAGGTGGACCAACCCAAAGACCTAGCGACGGAAGACGCGCGCCTCGTCAAGGAGGTTACTGATGCTGATGCTCAGCTTCAGCAGCACTCTGTCGAGAATGCCGCCCTCATCGAGGAGATTACCAAGCTAAAGGAGAGAGACAACTTGAAGGAGGCACAGACTGAGCAGCATTCGGCCGAGAATGCCCGCCTCACTGAGGAGGTCGCCAGCCTGAAGGAGAAGCTTCGGAAGTACGAGAAGACCGAAAGGTCGATCGCATCATTTCAGACGAAGGTTGCAAAAGTCCCTGAGCCTCGACTCATCCGCCGTCTTAACTACAACATGATACCAAAGAACCGCCAATATGGCATATTTCACGTGAGCGAAGGGAGGGTCCTCCAACCTCCCAACGAGGCCACAAAGAAGCAATTGTCGCTGAGCAAAATCCTCACCGTTGTCGACACCACCCCCATCATCGCTGCTCCTATTGTCTCCGACAACGCCCCGGCCAATATCGCTCCTGTACTCTCGTATAGCAGCATCTTGATCGTCGCTGACACCGCCCCCATCATCGCAACTCCCGTTCTTTCCTGCACCGGAATCCTTACTGTCACGGATGATGCTCCTGTCAACGTCGCTCCTCGTCTATCTCTTACCAATGTCTTCACCGTCACCGACAACGCACCCATTGCCACCATTGAGCCCGCGATCCCTGCTTCAGATGTGGTGCCTATCGACGAGGATAGTGCTCGCGAGGACGAATTGAATGACAACGTTCATGAAGAGGCGCAAAACGAGGTTAAGACCGAGAAAGAAGAGAATCAGGTCACGAAGTCTGACAAGAACAACGAAGTTGAGAAAGAGCAAGAGCACGAGGACGAGGACAAGACCAACGACGAGGATGAGCGAGACCAAGACGCAAAGAAGGACGACGACGGTGACGACGACGACGACGACGACAAGGACGATGACCACGATCTGGGCGGCGGCGGAGCAGTCTTGATGCTCCCCGATCATCCCCTGTCTGCATCTTCTATACCCGCGCCTCCCGAACAGCCCGCGATTCCTGGCACCAATGTCTTCGAACAAGTCCATACTCCCTCAACCGAGTTGCCTGTCCCTGCTCTCCCTGCTCTGGCACTCAGATCGCCTGCCACGCACAAGCGCAGACTGAGTGATCCCGAGGAGCCACAGAGATCCGGCCATGGACCTGCCTCTCGTCCAATCCCTACGGAATCCTCAACCTTGCCGTCTGTCTCTTCAAGTACTACAGTTGCGTCTGCCCTCGTTACTGCACAGCTTCCTGCGTTCGGAAATGCGCCTGGCTCTTCAGCCACAATTGCCCCGAACGCACAGATTGACGACAATGAGGCGATGGAGGTTGTCGAAACCCAGCCTAGCGACAAGACCGAGGGACTTGAGAAAGACAGTGGCTATTTGATGGACGGCGTTGTCGGTGAACCCACCGTGGCAGTCGAAAGAGTCGCCGAAACTCATGACGGATCTATGGACGGTGTCATTCAGCAAGCACCTCCTGTCGCTACTGTTGGAATCAACAATGTCCACGGAGACGCCATGGAAGTTATTGAGGTTGAGACGAATCAAGATGCAAGAAACATGATGGAAGGCGTTACACAATTCGAGACCACAACGAGAGACGACCAGGAGATGGCCGATGACATCGGATCAGCCCAAGACTTCAATATGCATCAATACACCGACCGCGACATGCACGACAATTTCTCTGGCGTCACTCCTGCCGTCGAGATCGTGGATACGGACATGCAGAATGATCCACTCTTCGCTTACACACCTCGCCAGCTCGCGACGCAAGTCGCCATCGACCGCGAAATCGAGATGGACGTTCTAGAGGATCTTCGTCCCGAGTTGCCGGCCACTCCAGGCGAATTCGGTCCAATCGATGAGATTTTTGATCAAACCTTCGTTGAAGCCGGCCCTTCTTCACCGCCGTTGATTTTGTCACCGACAATTCCAGACGAGTTTTACGCTCATCCTCCACCAATGCCTCTCAGGGTGCCATCTCCAGACCCCTTGGATGACCTCTACTCCCTTCCTCCTTCAACCCCTCCCAGGTCGCCATCCCCGGACCTATTGGACGACATTTACTCCCCCCCACCGCCACCTCCTCGCAGGTCTGCTCTTCCCTCGGCCCCCGTCGCTCCTGTCCACGAGCAGGATAGCCAGACGCAAGAGACGGGAACAGAGTCAGTGGCAGGGCCCGCTGACCCCGTTAACGAGGAGACAGCCGAGCGACATGAGCAAACACGTACGGGAACGACAACAGAAGCCTCAACAGGACCACGGGTAGCTCAGCAGCATTGGTACACGCTGACGCTGCCGCTTCAACCTTCTGCATCGCGTCCTTCACCAGATACGCCCATGACTCCGACCCCCAATCCACAATCAGCGGCTGGTGGTCCATCATCGGTCCCGCCTCGAAGAATCATTCGCAAAGCCCCACGTCCAGATCCCCTACGCCCCTTGCGAACAACAAAGCCGTCGGCTCAGACTCAGAAATCCAAGGATACGAGCTGCGCCAAATTGGGACCAGACGGACGGGTAATCCGCTCCCCTGCCGCGAGACCCCCCGAAGCCCCCAAGACTCCCACGTCAATCAAAGTGCTCGCACCCAAACGTAACGGCTCGGCGGCAGTCCCAAACGACGCTCCCCCGGACGCACCACGCATCGCGATCTTTTCCATCTCTGACCCATTGCCCGCATCGGCCTCAGACCCTCAGCAGCCGTCACAGGCAACTGGCCGCTCAAGCAACAGAGCCCAGGCCAAGGAGAAGAGGAACCAAGAGCAAGCCGTACAGACTGGCGATACCCCCACGCCGACCTGGTTCTCGCAGACGCGGCAGATTCTGCCTCTTCCCAGGAGCAACAGAGCAAACAGGTCCGCAGAGGACATCGCAGACCATCAACAGAGTGTGTATGAGGCAAGACGCGAATTGGAGCAGGAGCTTGCGGCGTCGGAAAGCCAAGAAGCGGCCGGTGGCGAAGACGGCCACCGGGACCGAATTGTTCGGGTCGGCGAGAGGGCCGAACAGAACCAGTCCGACAGCGTTTTCACGTACGGAGGGGCCGCAACCAGAGACGAGCGCCTGGGTGTCCTCCGCCTACTCTTCGACATTCTTGGGCGTCGAAGCCAGGATACTGGGACCGCTAGGAAGTTCAAGAGGTGGGGGGGCCAAAGACGACTCAAGCTCTTGTCTAAGGAGAGGTGGCAGGACCTGCCCGGCGCCCCGGAAGATCAGAAGACTTTCCTCACCAGAGAACAGGTGAACGATCTTCTGGGGCGTTGGATGAGGTACCTCCTTGAAGGACTCGTCCAACAAGATATCGTGTACGCAGATGAGATGGAGGGAGTTTTGAGGGAATGGATGAGGATGGTGGAGGAAGAAAGGCGGTCTCAACCGCAATGAGTCAATACGCTCTACTCAAGATGAAGAGAAAGAGGAGAGACGGTGGGAAGACGAAGAAAAGAGATGAACAGAAGAAGAAGAAAAAAAAAACTCCCCGCAAAAAAACACAAGAAAATACAAGGAAACACACGAAAACCAACCAAAACAGGAAACAAAAAACAAAACAGGGCTACGGAGAGTGTGGAGAGTCATTGGAAGAAGAATCTGGCCACCAGCAAAGCTTGTTGTTTGAGTACGGATGTTTCATTTCTTTGTTAGATTACCTGTTCTTCAGCTTCGTCCATCCATTTGTTCCACCACCTGTCCGGTTCTGAGCACTTTCGGTATCGTCCAGGGCCCAGGCATCGTCCTCCAAAACCTCCCATTCCGGCACGGCCACCTCGCTCAAAAGCTTCTTCTTCAGCTTATCGGCAAGCTTCAAGGGGCTGGGGAGCTTGAAGCTGCGGATGAAATCGGAACCCTCCGCGCCTCCGAGGAACGTGTGAGTTGTGCCATGGGAATAGCGTCCCATCCAAGACGACGCCTTTCCGATTTCTTCTTGCTCTGGATTGTCGTGCTTCGTTGCGGGCGACGAAGACACTGGGGGGTAGATGCGACCTGTCTGAGTACTATGCAGCTGTTGGCCGATGAGCAGATTGTACAAGTTACGGCCCATGTGGCAGACGTCGTCGAACGAGTTGCGATCACCGACAGAGACACCCTGTGTGGAGCAGGCCCAGGCGATGTCGTATGCAAGCAGGGTGACGCCCTCGAGGAAGAGCGAATGCGTGACGGAGTCTTCTTTTGCGAGAGTGGGAAGCGCCTTATCGACATAGAGTGGCCGAGGTCGCGGGACATAATGAGGCTGGCTGTCTCGATCATCTGAGGTTAGGTTGGGGATGACAGAAGAACCAGGAAATGGGACATCCCCGTGCTGATATGAGGACGCGAGGTTGAAGATCGTGGGACGAGGATAGTCCCGGTGCGGAAGAGTGATTTCTGCGGGCAGGCGGATCGAGAGATAATGCGACGTCAGTACGACGATATGGGCCAGGTTGGCAAGTGATGTGGACAATGCCTCGGGAGACACGGCTGGACGGGTCAGTGAGAAATTCACAGCATGTATCCAGTTCAAGCGACTTACCATTCATAGATGAAAGATCCATGATATCAACCCCACCAATCTTGTACTCATATCGAGATGAGGACCCTTTCTTGATTCGGCGAAGTCCATACAACTTGGCGGCCTCCATGCACAGGAAAGCTCGGGTAGTCGCCATATTATCGGCGCTGCGGTTCCATTTGTACTTGGTTACCGAGATCGAGCGCTCAGTCTCATCCAACTGTCTGGATCTCCGGGCCTCAGTACCATCAGAGGCAGATGTCAGATCTGACTTGCGGCGCGACAAAGCAGCCTTCCGGTCGGCGATTTCTTTCTTGGCAGCAGCGATTTCCCTCTTCAGCTTGTCGGCTTGCGCGATGATCTGAGCGGTCCTGTCCTCGGCTTTCTTCTGGTCCGAGACTGAGGCTTCAATAGCGACGGTGGAGGTTGAAGAGCTAGCCGGGCCAGTCTGGGCCAGCAAGTCGTTGATCTGCTGCTGAAGAGACTCATTCTCCATCAATGCCTGGAGGTTTCTCATACGGCCTTCATAGCAGCGGTTGCGCGCATCGACGGCGCAGAGAAAGGGCCGCTGCTGGGGATGATGCGGCCTTTGGCAAATGTCGCAGTTCATCCTGGCGGCATGCGGCGTGTCAAAGTTCGAAGAGCTAGGAGACGGCGAGTTTCAAAACAATCAGGGAGCGGCATGGGCAGAAAGTCGCAACGGCAATGACGTGGGGAATTTGACTTTCTGGCGGATGAGGTTGAGTTGAGTGCAAGACGTTCGGAGGGAGACTGCGATGTGAAATACGCAGTTCCCAAGTCGAAGTCGCAGTGAGTCGGCAGCAGTGTCCAGGCGATCTGACTGGGCAGGTCCTGTTCGAAGATATCGAGTCACGAGGGCGAGGTCGGGTGAGAGGCGGCGTTGAAAGGGAGCCAGCCAAGAAAGGAAACAATCGAGGGCCGTGGTCGCGGCGGCACTCCGGGCAGGCAGCAGGGGGGTCCCCCAACCCATTTGAATCCCTGCGGCGCGCCACAGAGGTGCTGTGGCCAATCAACGCCACACTTGCCTGAACAGGCCTTGGCGGTCGCAGCGCAGCAATGGAGTGAGCTGAGGCAAGCACCACTCTCGACCGCCTTCCAGGGGTGAGGTCCAGTCCAGTGAGGCGGTCGGCCGCTGTCAGTTCTGAACTTCTGACTTTCTCCACTGAGCCCGACAGCGAACACACTCACTACCTCCCTTACACCACCAACACTCCCTTTGTGGTGACCAAGAACGACGTTTTGATAGTAGAAAAAACACAAAACTTTATTCGGGCTCGGCCTCACAGTACTATCGTTTAACACGAAACATCAAAGAAGATGGCCGAGGACGCGAACGGATCACAGAAACCCAAGTCTCTTCAGAGCACCAAGACGCCTGAGCCGCGGGTCGACCAACCGGCAACCAACGGTCACGACAACATCTCGCCAGGCACGCCCGGTCCTTTTCCTGATTTCGACTGGGAAGAATTTGAGGCCCGCTACGAGAAGGCGCTCGCGGACGCTGATGAGGAAGAGCGAGAGCTGTTGGAGCAGTTTGAAGGCCTTGTCAAGGTGCGACTGCCCGCACAAACTACAGAGCCTAACTGACCATGTATCTAGTATTTCAATATCTGGGCTTCAACTTCCAGCGCCCATGACAACGAGCGCGCAGTCAAGCGCCTCCACACCAGACAGAGATACGTTAACATGCAAGAGCAGAATATGGCTCAGAAGCAGGAGCACAGTGAGTCCCCATCCTTCATCTTCCCATTCAGCGCGTCCGACTCACACCGTGTCAGTGAGGGAGGTTCTGCGGGCATTTCAGAGTGCACTTGCCCTGCTGAGCCGGAACTAATATTTGGCCGGGGAGATGGGGTCCTAGGTGACGGATCGAAATGTCCAAAGAGGTCCTACACTTATGCAGAAAAATGCATGGTTTTGGCAGCAGATGCACCTGGTCGCGTCCACTCCTCGTTGCTTCCAGCGTGACGAGGTAAGGTCTCCACACGTGATCCAAGCTCGCGGACGCGCCTGGCCCACTGCATGTCTTTGGCCTCATTCCGTCACCTTCCAATTTCTTTTCTTACTTTCAACAAAACCACAAACGACCAAAAGTCTCACCGCCGCATCATTCTAGTCGCTCATCATGGCCGCGGTCGGATCGGGTCAAGGCCGGGCCCATTTTGCCGTTCCAAACATCAGCAACGTGAGTTCAAACGCGCCAACCTGCCCCATTCTTCATACTGACATTTGCCAGGACGAGCTGACGTCGTTCTTTGAGTCGCACTTCTCTGACGCAGCTTTGCAAGGTTTCAAAAGCGACTTTTTCAGCCCAGAGAAGCATGCAGGCGATGAAAGCGCTGCATACGACGACGAAGAGTACTACGAGGAAGAAGATGACGGACTTGGGTACTACCCAGATGGTGTCAAACGCACGCTCACCGATGAGCAAATTGCCATGTTCCGCCACTCTGAAATTGAAGCTCTAAGAAAAGAGAAGGAAAAGGCCGAAGAGCGTCGTTCTGCAGCCTCGCAAGCAGATCTTGAAGCTGGCGAGGTCGGCGACAATGACAGCGCCAAGGAAGCCGCGACACCTCAACCACCCAAACCAAAGAACAAGAAAAAGCGAAAAGCAGGCAAGAACAAGAACCACGAACCCAAGCCCGACCTACGCAAAAGAACTTGGGACGTTGTCGAAGCCGGTCTTGACTCTCTTGACTACGACTGAGACCAGCTTGGCAAAATCGCAAAATAATTCAAAATCGCACTCAGGATCTGGCTGTTGCTGGGAAGAACCACGGGCCGCACACACGCTCATGGACCTCTGGTTCACGCCGATATTCCTTCAGGATAGCTGGCGGAAGCTGTACGCCGGGCACGCCTGCAGAATTGCAAGTTCGACTCGAAAGAAACCCGACGTTCAGAGCAGCTGAACCCATCAATCAAGGGCTTGGTAACATGCAAGAAACTCATGAACACGACGTGAGCCCGATCGTTCTACATCTGGAGCAGATGCAAAAGAGGTATGTCGCCGCTTTTTCTTCACGTTTGATCACGCATGCAATGATGAAAACTTCGTATCGTCATCCTTAGTCGGAACCCAAGCTCCGGGTAGACGACGGCAGTTGACTTTAGTCGACAGCCTGAGCCTTCGAGAGCTAGGACATGTCGAGCAATAATCTTCTCTCTGAGCATGCCTTGAAGTTTTCCGGAATTCTGTTCATGGTCCCTTGACATCAGATGCTGACTCTCTGGACAGATTGCGAGGCAAAATTGCCAGGGCATGGTCGTCATTGACGTAGGACTCTATGCATCATTGTACAGAGGATACAGGAAAGACTTTGTAAAATAGATTGGCATCAGGGGTTGACAAGTGGTCATGTACACATGATGCAAGATGCGAGATGCATCCGCATAGAATGTTAGGAGCCAGGCAAAAGGGCTGCCTACCTGCCATAAAACGAACGAATCTGACCAAGGAAGTTGACATATGTTTCTCTAATGCATGCAATGTGACGCGTTTGCCTGTTCTTTTGTGATGCTCATTTTCTGCAGAGGTCAAGGACATTTGGTATAGAGCTCCCGTGGCAACAAAGACCTTTGTTCTCAAAGATGTGCCTGGCACGGTCTCACCCAGACAACTGCGTCTGGAATCCGATGCAGCCTCGGGATGGCATTCTACTAGAAGCAGCGGCAGCAATGCTGGAACAGCGGCAGCTCGCTGCATCGAAACTGGACGGTGGGGCGTGCACGGATCAGGCGAACTTATCGGGCGGTCTGGACGATAAGCCTGTAGTGGACTGTCAGGCGCGTTGGGGGCCCGGCTCGGTCGGCGGCCAATCAAGCGGTGCTCTGAGGATGGACCGCTAAGCCTGATTTTAGACATCCCACCTTGATTTACTCCCTGCCCCGTTCCCTCCCACACTGCACCACTCACTCCCAGAGTCCCAGGTCCACGTCCACCACGCTTGTGTCTGGCGACCGACCAACCTCAGCCACGACCCAGACCCCTCCTTGTCTGCCCGCCTCCGCCGCAAAATCCAACCTACCTACCTTACGACAACATTATCACCATCTTCTACCAGTCTCGCGCGCGAACGCCGCAACGGTAGCCCAACATGGCGCGGGTGTACGCAGACGTGAACCAGAACATGCCCCGCAGTTACTGGGACTACGACAGTGTGAACATCAGTAGGTTTTCCCTCCGCCGGGTAGCACTGCGCCTCGGCCGAGTCCCTTGCAGCTCTCGCCAGAGCTTACAGCCGCCCGGTTTCCCTCCCATCCGGGTCGCGATCGCTGACAACTTCGACCTACAGGCTGGGGCGTGCTCGAGAACTACGAGGTTGTCAGGAAAATTGGTACGTTTTTTGCACTCTGTTGGTGGTGGTGGTCCCCGCGCGCCTGCGCGCATGCGCAATCCCGCATACTTTTTTTGCGCGAGTCGAGTTCGAGGCACTATCGTGCAAGGCTGACGAACGGTTGCAACAATACAGGTCGTGGAAAATACTCGGAGGTCTTCGAGGGCATCAACGTCGTCAACTACCAGAAATGCGTCATCAAGGTCCTCAAGCCCGTTAAGAAGAAGAAGATCAAGCGTGAGATCAAGATTCTGCAAAACTTGGCTGGAGGCCCCAATGTTGTTGCGCTGTTAGACGTGGTCAGAGATTCGCAGGTAAGCTGGGATATTTGTTGATGCTATTCGGATGACGGGGCTTTAGGAAGCAATGGCTGACCTTTTTCTCCTTGCAGAGTAAGACGCCCTCTCTGATCTTCGAGCACGTCAACAACACCGATTTCCGAAGCCTGTACCCCAAGTTTAACGACCTTGACGTTCGGTACTACATCAATGAGCTCCTGAAGGCTTTGGACTTCTGCCACAGCAAGGGCATCATGCACCGCGACGTCAAGCCTCACAACGTTATGATCGATCACGAGAATAGGAAGGCACGTGGATTCTGCGCAGAAAGCTGAGGCTGGGGATACAGACTAACTGTGATGCAGTTGCGGCTCATCGATTGGGGTCTGGCCGAGTTCTATCACCAAGGCACAGAATACAACGTTCGCGTTGCTTCCCGATACTTCAAGGGCCCCGAGCTGTTGGTCGACTTCCAAGAGTACGACTACAGTCTCGACATGTGGAGTCTGGGCGCTATGTTTGCGTCTATGATCTTCCGCAAGGAGCCTTTCTTCCACGGTAACAGCAACTCGGATCAGCTTGTCAAGATCGCTAAGGTGCTTGGCACGGACGATCTCTTCGACTACCTTGACAAGTACGAGATCGAACTTGACGCGCAATACGACGATATTCTGGGTAGGTTCCAGAAGAAGCCGTGGCACTCATTCGTTACCGCCGAGAATCAGCGATTTGTCTCTAACGAAGCAATCGACTTCTTGGACAAGCTTTTGAGATACGACCACCAGGTATGTTACGCGACCGTCACACGGCCAGCACAAGACTGACATGTCCACAGGAACGTTTGACGGCAAAGGAAGCCCAGGCGCACCCGTACTTCAACCCGGTTAGAGACCCCGAGGTTTTCAAGCAGAACTTGGCCCAGCAGAGCGCCTCCGGCGTTTCTAGCAACTGAACCTAGACCATTGCTCTGCCCAGACTGAGAATTGACCCACGACTCTCGTGATGCCCTCGACCACACCCGCTTCGGTTCTGCTATGAGCCGGCACCCGTTAGCGGATCAGCGAGGATTCCCTCCCACTGGCAGCCTGCCCTGTCAACTAGACTCAACCCATATCCTCTCAATACGACTTTAACCTTATCTTTGGAAAAAGCATGAAACACAAACCTACATACTCCCCCTCACGAAACGGAATGACTCTCAAGACCGGTATCAATCTATTTTTTTGGGCGATGGCACAGATGGTGGTATACAGAGAAACAAAGGCGTAAACCTCAAAGCAGGCGGGAGGATTGAAGGGATTCGCACAGCGGCGGAGGAAAGCTAGGGAAAGGGGACGGAGAATTTGAGATGCTCAGAGGACCGGCGAGGTATCTTCACCACATGGAGGGGAAAGGCGTTTCGCGAGGTTGATGGCCTGCTGTTTCGTTCCAAATGCCCCCCTCAACGGATCCTTTCTGTCCATGATTCTCTGCGGAAAGCTTTGCATATGTGGTTTCATCATGATTTTCTTTTCTTCTCTACTGGTATTCGTCTTGATGTAGCGACTAATGAGGAAGCGTATCTTTTGCTTCCTGACCCCCCATGCACATCTGAACCGCTATGCCGCTGCAACGGATACCAAAACTCCATGCCAAAGCGCCCTTCACCTCGTCATCTACAGGCACGTAAAGCAAAAATCCCTATCGCATTTGAACCCGTCCTCTCCGCACCGCCTCATATGTCCACCGGGTGTCTTGACAAGCGAGCCGGATGGACTTCCAAATTGCACCTTTGTCGGCGTCACAGCGAAGGCCCACGCCGCCTTGCGCTTCTTGCCCCTGCCCGTTCCCCCGCCGCTTCCGACGTTGTGGCTGCGCTGCTTCATGGGCGTCTTGATCTTGGTCTGCGGGCCGGCGAGTAGCACGGGTGCGTAGGACGTCTTCTTGCGGCCGCTGGAGCCCGGAGCGGAGCCGCCGCTGGTGTTTGTCCAGGACTTGAAGAGGTCGAGGGTGAGTTCGTCCTCGTCGTCTGAAAGGAGGGAGACGAAGGAGCGGCGGGCCGAAGGGGTGCGTGGGGAGGCTTTTATGGTGGAGGAAGAGGGGGCGGCGGGAAGGGAGGGCTGTTCGTGGTGTGGGCGGGTGGTGGCCGCGGGGGAGGATGGCTTCTTGTTGAATTTGACTGATTTGCGTGGTTTGAGGGCGTTTGAGGCGCGACGTTTGAGGGGGCTGCTTGAGTTGAGGTTGAGGGTTCGCATCGGGGACGTCGCGCCGTTTTCTGAGGCTGCGTTGGACTTTCTGGGACGGCCGGGTTTTGAACGGGGCGGGTTTGATGCTGGGTTTTGGGTTGGGAAGGGGAGAGCTGGCAGTTCGATGTCCACTGACTCTGGCTCAGGTTCAGCCTCGGGTTCCGTTGCGCTTTCTTCGCCCACGTCGTCCAAGAGAGGGACGGAGAAGCCTTCTTCTTGGTTGTCTTGACTGTCTGGGAGGTGTGCGTCGTCGGGGAGGGCGATGGGTGAGTTGACAGGGCTGGATGATGCTTCGACCGTGCCCGCCACCTCCGGCCGTTCTGTCTCGACGTCAGGTAGGATCGTATCTTCCTCGTCAGGTTCTGCAACGGACCGCTGCTCCATTGTGGAGGGATCCTCGGTGCTTTCTCTCGGAGAGCTGTGCCCTCCCGCGTCAGTGAGCTCTTCCGGAGCCTCAGCGAGAGCTTCTGGCGTTTCCGGCTGCGCAGCGTCAAGGTCCATGCCGTCGAGCTTGTCTACGAGGGGAGTTGCCGGTGAAGTCTGGATCTGGTCTTCACCATCTTCCTCCTCCTCCTCATTGGCTGTCATTGTCTCTGCATCATTTAATGGCACCTTAGACGTAGAAGCGACATATTCGACAACATCCGTGACTGGGGCAGTCGCATTTCCGATAGGGGAGGCCGAAGCAGGCTTTTGGATCCTCGTTGGGACTCGCGTAGTAGGGATGCCTTCCTCATCGTCCGAGAAGTCGTAGGAGGGGTCGATTTGGTGTCTGACGAATTTCTCTTTTGGTGGTTTAGGGGCTTTACTGGATTGGTTCTCGGTGTTTTCGGAAGCGTTCTCTGCAGAACCGCCGTTTGTCTCAGCCAGAACTGTATCCGCATCAATCTGCAGCTCAGAAGCTGATGTGTTCTCTTCAGGGGCAGTTGCATCCGATGGCTTTGGGAGATCGAAGGCTTCATTCAACCTATAGGTATCGGCATCCTCAGGCTCTAGCACCTCTGTAATATCTCCCGGCGGAGGGGTCTTTGATAGCAATTCGATGACAAGCTTTTGCTTTGGTAATCTCTGCGCCTCGTCCCCCGTAACGAAGTTGGGTGTCTCTGACGACATCTCTTCCGCAATTGCCAAATCTGCAGGCTGTGCTTTGTCTGATTCGACGCGGTTCTCTGCTGGCATTTCCAGCTGCTTGTTCTTCTCCTGTACTTGGACCTCAGCAACTTGCAGTTTCTCCTTTTCTTTCTGCTGCTTCGATTGTTTTGGTTTCTTTGATTTGCCTTTAGCTTCTTTTTGAGAGGGGGACGACTTTTTCGGTGCTTCCCGAGTTGTTGGATCTTCGACAGATACCACGGGCTGGTCTTCCTTAGCGTTTTTGTCTGGTGTTTCAACACTTGGCTCCCCATCTCCAGTAGGTGTTGGTTCCTTCTTCTTCTCGGCCCTTGGTGCCCGCTCCGCAATTGAAACACCGAGAATGTCGTCGTCATTGTCGTCATCCTGGGCAGTAAACGCTTGTAAAAGTTTCATCGACGTAGGCCTTCCCACTCTCAAGGACTCTTGCCGCGCGCGAGACAGCATCTTCATGTCGATTCGGGATGGGTCGGCGGTCATCTTCTCCTCCTCCGTGTCTGGCCTCGAGGACCAGATAGACTGGTAACTGATAGGGAAGCGATATCTTGAGCCGTGCATGTTCGCCATCAGACTATCGCCAAGTTTTGGTTTGCGAATCTCGGGAACCTTCCATGTCGGGTCGGCAGGCTCTGGATCTGCGCCCCAGACACTCCCGGGAAGAACCGAACTGCTCGACCCTGGCCTGCGCGGCGCCACGAGACTTGACAGTCGCTGCTCCGATCCTAACCCTCCAATACTTGATAGACTCGGGCGTCGCTGAATTTCGGTACTTGGTCTGCGAGTAAGAGCTGTTGAAGTGCTTCCGCCCTTCTTCCCGTGCAGAATCCTCTCTTCCTCTTCTTCGTCGGGCTGGCCTGCAGTTTCGGCCCCATGCTCATCATCATCTTCCTCTTCATCATCAGAGCCAAAACCTTCCTCCAGAAGCATTCCCTCGTCTTCCTCCTCTTCCTCGTCCGGAACGCCCATGTCCCTCTCATGCCGCATGTTCTCCAAGTGACCATTGTTGATGACGACCTTGCCGGTTTTCAGGTCAATCTCGTCACCAATGCCCGTGAAGTCCTTTTCGTATTTTGCGAATATGTGCTCAAATGTTGACTTCAGTTTGAAGGCTGCAAAATTCCGAGACTGTTCAAGCTGGTAGCCGGGGTCCCGCATCTGAGACACCTCTTCCGGCTCATAGTTGAGCTCATCGTCCTCGTCATTCTGTTGTTGACCCAGGTGTGATGGGCCAGTCCTCGGTCGCTTCGCTGCAGGCTCCATGATGACTTGCAGGCGCCAATGAGACCGAGCCTCTCATTGTCGTATGAATGAGAGGATGACGACGACGGCGCCGACGATGGGCATCCAAAGGCGATGATAATAAGGTCGGCCAACATCAACTTGTTGACCCTGAGATTGAAAGACGCGGTGGCAGGCGGCGCACGGACTCTTGAAGCTCTCGCGTAAAGTGGAAGGGCACGGACCACGTGGGGTGGTGCGGTTGCCAGGGAGGACCGCTGTGACTGTCCCTGACTTGCAGCGACTCTAAAAGAAATTAGCGTGACATTGAGACAGAGCCCCCTAGAACGGACCAGGACACCGCTGGAGTCAGCTGCGCCCCTCCACTGAGCCTTTCTAAAGTTCACCAGACCGACTGCGTGCCTACCGACGCCCGATTACATCACCAGACCTTGAACATCCTCAACCTACCAACTACCTCCCGCCGCCGAACACCTGCCACCTACACCGCGAGTCGCGCAAGCATGCGCGCAACGATACGATGTACTGCCAAAAGTGTCGCACACCCCTCAAGCTCGACAGCTCCCTTGAGGACCTGAATCCCGCCGCATACGATCTCCTAGTCGGTCCGTGCAAGCTTCAGATTCCTCGTGTCGCGGTGCCTAGCTAACCGTTACAGCTTCCTCTTCGCAAACGTCCCCCAAAAAGTCGCACTTCTCACGAATCCCACACTCCCAAGACAGCCAGAGAAAGGCACTTTACGACAAGGTGTCCCAAAATGCTGCTTCAGCAACCTTCAAGCGCCACGGCAGTGGCCCGTCGGGCTCGGCGCAAAAAGACTCGACAATGTCATTCATCTACCTGACCGAGTCCCAAGTCGCGCAGCCCGTGCTTTCGAGACCAGAACCCCAACCAACGAACCCGAAGTCAAATAAAGGAGGCAAGGCTGGTGCAAAAGGCCAGGAAGAACCAACCAGTAAAGCACATGAGGTGGAACGCATCAATAAGCTATTCGAGATTCTATCCGCAAGATCCGATATCGACCACCCTGTCTGCGTGGAATGTACGGACATGCTGGTGGAGGGTCTGCAGAAAAAGCTCGAGGGTGCGGCGAGAGAGCGCGACGCCTACGTAGGGTTTCTGAAGCAAGTTCAAAGCGATCAACCCAGCGAGGAGGAGGTAAAAGCGCAAGAGGAGGCACTTAAGCAGGCAAAGCAGGCCGAGTCCGAAGCGATGGCGGAACTCTTGCGCTTGGAGAAGGAGAAGGCGGCGGTGGACGCCGAAATTGTTGCTCTGGAGGAAGAAGCACAGCAACTCGATCGGGAGGAGGAACAGTTCTGGCGCGAGCGCAACACCTTTGCGATGAAGCTGGCTGACTTCCAGAACGAGCGCGACAGCATCAACTCCAAATTCGACAACGACGCCCAACTACTGGAGAAGCTGCAGCGGTCAAACGTCTACAATGATACCTTCTGCATCAGTCACGACGGCACTTTTGCTACGATCAACGGCTTGAGACTGGGTAGGACCTCTAGCAAGCCTGTGGATTGGCCCGAGATCAATGCCGCATGGGGGCATGCTTTGCTGTTGCTCGTCACCGTAGCCGACAAGCTTGGCTACAAATTCGACGGCTTTGAACCGCAGCCCATGGGAAGCACCTCCAAGATTGTTCGATATGAGCTGCCCTCACCCGCTGCCAGCCGTCTAGGTTCTCATCGCAACGCCCCACCTCCAGCACCGAAAAAGCATGTTCTGGAGCTCTTTTCCGCCGGAGACCTGCCTCTCGGCTTGACATTCATGCACCGCAAGTTCGATAACGCCATGGTCGCCTTTCTTGAACTTGTGCGACAGCTCGGTGCCTTTGTCCACAGGCAGACCGCAGCAGACGGCCATCCGCTTAGTTTACCTTACAAGATTGAGGGTGACAAGATCATGGACGTCAGCATCAAGCTGGGAATGACCCAAGACGACGGCTGGACCAAGGCCTGCAAGCTGACACTGACATGTTGCAAGTTTCTGCTGGCGCACGCTAGTAACGTGAACACAACAGCAAGAAATGCCAACAACTAAGTGTGACGCTCACTACCTTCTGCATTTTCTTCCAAGGATACGATATCTCGGCGTTTGGCTCATGGCGGGAATAGAATAGCGTAGGGTGTCTGAGGCGTTCCAGGATACCTTTTCGATGGTTGGCATATCTTGGGAAGTAGTGCATACCGTGTAACCCAGGAAGCAGGCTACTACCGTTCCTCTTAGGTAGGCGAATATCAAGTCCTATCTCACAGTCGCTTGCACTTGCGGCCTGCAGCCTTGATGAAACATTCTGCACTTTGCAAATCTGCAGTTCTCCAGGGCCTTGAACCAAGGCATTTCGAAGAGCATCTCTCTCCACGAAAGTACACGTGATTCGGCGCTAGTCTCAACGTTACAGTCTTACTGCTTCTACACTTCAGTCAGCCCAGCGTTCAACCTGACGTCCCGATTGGAGACTGCGGCCTATCTACTAGGCAGCAGAGCGCCTCGCGAACCACCACAGGCCCGGCTGCCTTGCCGTCGCACACCTCAAATCGCTCTTTATGCGAGTCTAAAACAACTGCACACTGATCTTCCAATCACTCAACATGAGGCCGGAGTCATCGATTCGAGGCGGGGTATGCTCGCCCTACTTCTGCACCAATGACACGGCGATCAAGAAGCGTGGTACTTCGGAATAATCGACACTCAGCTCGCTGCTGTACCGATGTTACTTGAGCCGCATTAGGCCGCAAGGCATTGTAGCTCATTAGTGGCCTCCGAATCCTCCTCTTATGTAGGCTTTCCATCCCCTTCGTCCTCCTATTGTTCGTTTCTTTCCAGGCTTGTTCAGTTCCTACTTCAAAACGCATCGCCCAACATGATCGGCCGAGGTGACAGGGTAAGGCTCTACTCAATCACGCACAATATATGTTGCTAACATGAGAAAGACCATCGACGACGAGACCGGCTCCACGGTCAGCTACGAAGAGGTCGCTTTCCGACGCGTCTCACCTCCTAGCGACGACAACTCTCTGGTTGTCCAGCAAAAGCCAGCACCCAAGCCGACCCCTGACGTGTTGTACGTGCTGCAACATGTCAGCCTTGGCGGCAAGGTCATAGAAAGTATGTAGCACTATGATATTGTCCCACGAATCTCGCTGACCCAACTGTCAAGGCCGAGAGAGCGATGTCCCGTTCAAGGAGATCCCAGACTATGGCGCGAGGGACGGCGAGAGCACGGCCAAGCGAGACGTTGAACCAGTCCTCGAGATCGTGACCAAGATCTCGGCCTATACCGGCGGGAGCAGGACTGTTCATTATCGCCGCATGCCCCCTCCGCGCCCGCCTCCCGTCTTCGACGACGATGATGACTATGTGTCGTATGACTCCGACAGTAGTGATGATGATGTTCCGGGAAAGTTGACGGTAGAGCGCACCCGCATGATCATTCACTCTCCGCACCTCATCAATGCTCTGAGAGCGACCGTGGCCTACTACCCCAACATCAACCTCCTCGGAGACACTGTCAAGATAGACGCGCCGTACCGCGCCGTCGTCCATCATCGTGATGCTCTGACAAAATACAAGTTCCACCAGCCAGCTCACCACTCTTCCGAGTACGCTCGCACCACAGCTGAGCACATTGACGTTCTCCTCAACTTCATCGAAAAGACCGTCGGTGAATCCATCCGCAAGGAGGAAGAACGGTACGCTCGCAGCACCCCCGTTGCGACGTTTGAGAACTACTGGATGGCGCTCAAGCCGGGCGAGATCGTCTACGTGAACAACGAGGACGTCTGGCAGCCCCTCATCGTCAGCAGTCTGAGCCAGGAGACGACCTCGTCTGGACATAGACGCCAGTGGATGGTGGCCTGCTGGCTGCTCGAGATGGGCAACAGCAAGATGGTCCGCAAGATGGTGCAGTACAAGCTGCCCTCGTGGCCCGGCGAGCAGGTCATCCACTCCCTGGATGTGATGCCGGCTCGCTTCTACCCCGACGCGCCCGAGAAGATGCTCGAGAAGCAGATCAAGTTGGGCAAGCTGTACTGGGAACTCCTCCAGCGACCGACTTACATGGAATATGACGGCTTACTGGTGCAGTCCGCTAGCTCGCGTGCTGGGCCTGCCTTCCGCGAGCCATCAGGCTACGTAAGTCGCTTCTCACTCCCCTCAGTCAGTGGAACATGTGACTAATATCTACTTAGATGACTGGACGAGTTATTTGCGATGCTGAGGGCTTCAATAGGTTCGCCATGCACTCTCCCGAGAACCGCCATCACCGCTCGCGTAGACCTGCTGGGCTCCCTCCTGGCCAGGGCCCACCACCAGAGCAAGACCACCTCCCTCATTTCCTCCCACGTTGTGGTTGCAAGGCATGTGCCGACTCCAAAGACCAAGAGGAGCAAGGAACCTATGCAGTCTTCGACAATGTCTACCCTACCAAGTCCGCCGCTCCAACCAGCGACCTCTTCTACATTGCGTGCATCAAGGTCATCCCCGCCTTTCTCCTCGGCGAGCGCCACTGGGGCCACTTGAACCTCGAGCACCTCAAGCCCGTCGTCACGGACCGCGAGGCCTTCAAGTATCTCGTCCTCGACGACGAGATCAAGTTGACGGTCAAGGCTCTCATCGGCAAGTTCGCGACCACCGACTCGGGCAGAGTCTCCCCTTGGGGCAACGACTTCGTCAAGAACAAGGGCGAGGGCCGCATCTTCCTCCTCCACGGCGCGCCCGGCGTCGGCAAGACCTGCACCGCCGAGTGCGTTGCCGAGCTCACCAACCGGCCCCTCATCTCCCTCACCTCGGGCGACCTGAGTGTGAACTCGCATGCCGTGGAGAACAACCTCTCCTACTTCCTCGAGCTCGGCCAGCGCTTCGGCGCGCTCGTGCTGCTCGACGAAGCCGACGTCTACCTCGAGCGCCGCCGCGCCAAGGACATTGCCCGCAACGGCCTCGTCTCCGTCTTTCTGCGCGCGCTTGAGTACTACCGCGGCGTGCTCTTTTTGACGACGAACCGCGTCCAGGCTTTTGATGCGGCCTTTACGTCAAGGATTCACGTCGCGCTGCACTACAAGAACCTGACGGACCTCGACCGCGAGCGCATCTGGGCCAACAACTTTGAGAGGCTCGATCGAGACTCCAGCGGGCGCGTCCGTGTTGCGGCCGCAGCGAGGGACTATGCTTGGGAGTCGCGGGATGTGAGGTTGTTGAGGTGGAATGGCAGGGAGATTAGGAATGCGCTGCAGACTGCGCTCGCCCTCGCCGAAAGCGATGCTGCTGAGGGTGGAAGTGAGCGGATCACCGTCACTGACAAGCATCTTCGGGCCGTTGTTAAGATGAGTCGCGGATTCAGGGACTATCTCCGGAGTGGAAATGTCTACGATGGCGAGAGCGAGCTTGACGCCGAAGAGGAGGACGAGGATATTTACTCTGACTAGTCGACTTGTTATAGGTGGTCTGTAGGATGATACTCTTTTTTGCTTGGGCTTTCATGACGGCATTTGGGTTACGATGTATGAACAGATTGATGACTTTCTTTTGTTGGCATGGAGAGATTTGGTACCAGGGACTTTGACGGCCTGCCTCATGTGCGAGGCTCAATGATACACACTCATTTACCAAGACTTCATCGCTAGAAATTAGCCGTATGGTCATTCTGAAAGGCTTGCGGGCCCGCAGCTGGTGAAAACTATTGTGAAAATGCGATGGAGGAGGCAAGATGGCATCCTCCATAGCTAAATTTCTACGAAGACTGGCTCCATCCCGGCATATAAAAGTCAGGAAGGATTTTCTTTCCTGAGCATATGCCTAAAAATATACCGTCCCCAACGGTTGTCGCCCTGTCGACCACCTGGAGCCCACTCGTCCAGGTCATACTCGTTCCTCCCAACCTCCTCAAACCCAACCTTTGCGTACATACCATAACTTGAAGGTGAGGCATGGATCCAGCATGCGAGACCCTCGTAGTCAATTTTCTCAAGTCCCGCCTGGATCAGCTTCGTCGCAATCCCCCGTCGCTGATAAGCCGGATCCGTGGCAAGACCCTGCAACACCGCGTACCTCTTCCCCTTCATGTACTTCTCCTCGATGGGCACTCTCTCCTTGTACATGAGGCCTCCCAGAGCCCGAGCCGGGTCCTCCTTTTGCGGTTCCTGTTCCTTCTCCACCGCTGATTCCTCCGGTCCCTCCGCCTTATCCACGCTGCTGCTGCCGTCCTTTGACTCTGCCTTGTAAACAGCTTCCCACTCTCCAGTGTCGTCTTTCACTTGCCAACAAGACCATCCCAGAACCCGACCGCTTGCGTCGGTCGCTTTCATGAAACTGGTGTATGGAGCAGAGATCCAGCCCTCGATGGCTTTGCGCATGAGCTTCTCGTGGGCGTCGTCGGCGCGGCCGAGGAGCATCAGGTTCGAGAACTGGTCCGTCTTGAAGGCGGCGGTGTGCACTCTGACGAGGTCATCGACATCGCCGGGTGCGACATAGTGAAGGGTGAAGTCGACGCTGCTGGCTTGAGCGCTCATCTTGATGACTTGACGTGAAGGTTTTTGATGCCTCTGGGAGGAAGGTGGATATGTGAGATGGGGGGATGAGAAGCAGAGTGAAGGCCTGCCTGTAGAAGCATGGTTGGTCGTTCAAAGGGACTTTTGACACTGATAATGGGCAAGATATGAGAGCGGGGACAAATCCAGGCTAACGCATTCAGGATGGTGGTCAATGGATATGTAGCTGTGCCTTTTTGAATTCAATGCTGCCTAATTCAGTTCCATCATCATCACAGCTCTCAGTCATGTCCACGTACACGACAAAGTATGTAATGAAATTTTATTAACAAATACTAATTCCGCTCGTGAGGCGAGATCACCACTGATCAATCCCAAGTCATGTATTGTACAACATAGAAAAACGAAGCAGAGTTTCATAAACAGACCACACTTTGCACACACACTCACACTCTCACCTCCTCATAAACAACACCACACAGCCCTCAGTAGAACAAATACGTCAACCCCAGCGCCAATATCGGCACACTCGTGATGAAATGCGCCTTGGCCTTGGCCCTGCCCACCTCGATTTCCTTCTTCGAGCTCTCGGTCTTGACGCTCTTGACATACTCCCAAATCACAAACGCGCCGCTGAGCCCGACGCCCGTACCCAGCGTGAGCACGATGCCCACGCACCGGCGCACCGCCTCCCTTGCGGCCGGCGACGCGCGGCACGCCTCGGAGAACTGGGCGTAAAGCAGCAGCCCCAGGATGCTCGCCGACATGTGCAGGTTGCGCGCGCCCTTGACCTTGATGAGGGCGTGGTGGAAGGCGTCGAACTGCGCCGGCGAGACGGACGCGCGCGAGGGCGGGATGAGGCCGAAGTTGCCAGCGCCGGTCTCGGGCTGCGTGAGGTTCATGAGGCCGTCGCCGGCGCCGAGGAGCGCGAGGAGCCCGGTGAAGAGGGGCAGCGCGGCGGGTTTCCAGAGGGTGTGGAAAGGACTCGTGGGGCTGATGGACGTCATGGTTTCTTTTGTTTAGTTTATTTAATGAGAGTATATGTTTTGGTCGCTGGGAGGGTCGTGTTTACGCTTCCAGTGTGCTGTAAGGTAAGATGGGAGGGTCCGGAAGTGAGATGCCGGTGAAGCGCGGTGCGTGACTCGTTTGTAGCGAGTGGTGATGATGGACAGAGGGTGGCTCAGGTATTGTTGTTGATTTTGCGTGTTGTTGCCTGGACGTTGGATTAAGCCGCTTTCTGAGACGACGACCCAAAGCCAATCACGTGTAGGATATAAACAGGAGGTTCGAGGCTAGTTCAAGCCACTCTGACGTTCTCCCGTCTTAGACACGGATCGCTAGCGAGACGCCTTTGAACTATCTTCCTCCTGCGTGGAATGGGCACTAAGAGATACACGTGATTTAGCTCGTTCACTGTTGTTGCGTCCACCTTAGCATAGCTGAGCTCGCGAACTTCGCAAGATTGTAGATTTATATTGTGCTCCTTTTGTGTATTAGAGGCTATCAAACGATTGGATGCTTGTTCTAAATGCCACAAGACAGAAAATCGATGTAAGGTCATACAACAGTGTCAGGAAACCGTGCGCTTCAATCACTTGACAATAACGTGAATGTTGAGAAACCAAAGTCTCTTGTGTCTTCGCATTCCAATCAAGGACTTGTTCTATAAACCCGGCTTTTGTGCCACTTTTGTACTAATCAAACGAAAAATAGAGATGCTCCAACACAATACAGCGAAACAAAAAACGCTCCCAGCGAGCATTGCGTTTCCGGCGATCTTTAAGCCTGGGCTTTCTCGTAATCGATACTATCCAATCCGCTGCAATGAAACTCTAACCAAAAATGATATTCTTCAACTTCTCCTTCTCACCACTCTCCTCGCACATCCCACGGAACACACCGCCCTCCTTGTCCCAAAGCTCCTTCGGTGAGCCGAACTCGGCGACCGAGCCGTCGCTGAGTACCAAGATGCGGTCAAAGTCAGCAATCGTGCTAAGACGGTGGGCAATGACGATAAGCGTTGAGTCGTTGAACTCCTCGCGAATGGATCGTTGAATGAGTGCATCAGTGTTCATGTCGACAGCAGAGGTGGCCTCATCGAGGACCATGACCTTGGGACGAGAGACGATGGCGCGAGCAAGGCAGAGGAGTTGGCGCTGGCCCTGGGAAAGGTTGCCGCCACCTTCGGAGATGGCCGAGTTGAGGTTGCGGAAGACGTTGACGTTCTTGGCTCCGTTGAGTGAGGGCGTGGCGCTGCTGGAGGGTTCGCCAGGGGTCGAGGGTGACGAGTCGACGAGGTGCACGCGCTGAAGAGAGTCGCGCAGTTCAATATCGGTCTGGTTATCAAATGGATCCAGGTTGGAGCGGACGGTGCCAGAGAAAAGAACGGGGTCCTGATTTTTGTTAGTCTCTGTGTCTTAGGAGAGTCAAGTTCATCTTACCTGAGGAATGATGGCCAATCGGGATCGAAGGTCGTGAAGCCTGATCTTGGAAATGTCCACGCCATCGACATGAATGCTTCCGGACTTGGCCTCCAAGAAACGGAACAGCGCCAAGGTCAAGGACGACTTTCCAGCTCCTGTACGACCAACTACGCCGATTCTCTCGTTTTGCTTGACGCTGAAGGTAAGACCCTTCAGCACGGGCGACAAGTCCTCGGCGTAGCTCACAACAAGATCTTTGACCTCCACGCGACCCTCAGTTGGCCAGGTCGCAGGGGGCTCAACACCACCTTGGTCTTCGGTCTTGAGGTCGGAGTACTCAACCACACGCTCGGCTGCGTTCATGTCGAGCTCAATGTTGGCATAGTGTCGAATGGACCAGACGATAGCTTGAGAGAACTCCAGCGCGAAGGAAAGAGTGAAACCGGCGAGCGAGGCACTCATGTACGGGCTGCCAAGAACAACAAGACCGACAGCAGTAGAGAACAGAGCGCCGATGAGAGACATGCGCCAGCCCATCCATCGGTTGAACAGCCACAAGTACCACGATGCCATCCCGTAGTCATCCAGCCTCGTGTACATGGCGTCAACGTAAGTCTGCGCCTTGTCAGCTCCACGAATGGTCATCATACCAGTCAGAGTGGAACCGAAAAGATCAAAGATGGGGGACTTGACGGTGCTCTCAAGTCGCTTCGCGGGTCTGGCGCCGGCCAGGTAGCGCCTGCCGATCCAAATGGCAATGGACAGAAGCACAACAGCCAAGGGAATGATCATGGGAGAGACCGAGAACGCCGTAATGCAAATTCCAATGACGCTGAGAATGGCACCGAAAACACCAGAAAGATCCATGCCGAGTCTGTTGTCAATGACGTTAAAGTCGGCAGTGAAACGGTTGAGAATGCGGCCGGTGGGTACGGTATCGAGCCATCGCAGCGGTGTGCGGAGAACAGTCCTAGTGATACCCTTGAACATGCTCTGACTGGCCTTGTAGCTCATACAGAAGAAGTAGAAGAAGCGACCGGTTCCCAGAATGGCAGAGAAGGCGGAAATTCCGACGTAGATACCCAGGTAGAAGTAAAAATCGTCATTCTCGGATTGAATGCGGGCGAACCCTGAAGGCGCAGCGTGCGGGGCATGGAGAGAACTGTCCTGGAGAGTGTAGGCATAAGCATGCTGGTGCACAGTCGCGAGTGTGTTGAGGCTTTGCTCTTCGTAGTGACCGGTCCAAAGACGCAACCACCAGGAACGGGCGATAACGACGCCCTGGTAGAGAGCAAAGAGGAAGAAACCAAAGCCCCACCAAGGCCAGCCACCACTCTGGCTAAGATAGGCGGCGTAGACATGCTTCTTGATGGCACCCTGCTCGCGAGATTCGTCTTCGACAAATTGACGGGTAGCCTTTGAGGGGATCTTCTTAAGGACTCCGCCATCGCCGTTGAGTTCAGCAACCTCGGGCGCATCGACGTCAGATGCTTCCTCCGAGTTGACGGCCGTGGCGGCTTCCTCATCAGCTATCTCCTGGGCAGACTGCTCATGACTCTTGATCAACTGCAGCGTTCCATCTTCATCCAGATCAGACTTGAAGCCAGAGTGTTGAACGGTTCCGTCTCCAAGCTCAACGATGAACTTGGTCTTTGGCTCAACAAGAGCGACATGGTGCGTGACAAGAATACGAGTGCGCCCCTTGCAGAGCTCGCCGGTCAAGCATTTCTCGTAGATGTGGCGACCGACGTGGGCGTCAACCGCGCTGAAGATATCGTCCAAAACAAGAATGCCGGCGCGGGAGTAGATGGCTCTAGCCAGGGTAAGTCGCCACTTCTGACCGCCACTGAGGTTGATGCCGTTGGCTCCCAACTCGGTCTTATCTCCATCCGAAAGCATTTCCAGATCCTTCCTCAGGGCGCATGCATCAATAGTCTTGTTGTACCGTTCCTCGTCCAAAGGAAGCCCGAAGAGAATATTCTTCTTCAAGGTGGCATTCTCAATCCAGGGGATCTGACCAACAAAAGAGATGCTCTCAGGGATGATCCAGTTGTCGCGGTTGGCCTTGTCGTCGTGGCGCTCTTTCAGGGAAGGGGGCTTGGGTGCGTAAATTGCGCCAGACAGAAGATCAGATTCGCCCAACAGAGCCGCCAGGATCAGACTCTTTCCGGTACCCGTCTTGCCAGAAATGACAGACAGCTCCCCAGCAGGGAAAGTAACGTCGACGTTTCGCAGGATGAAGCGATCCTCGTCCTTGGTCTCCTCATCAACCGGCCATGCGATTGAAGCGTTCTCAAAGGCAACGTCGGGACCATTAGTGACGGTTTGGGTCTTTTCGGGTCCATTGAGGTAGTCCTGCATTCGCTTGATGGAAACATTTGCATCGATGACATCCGTTATAAGCTCGGGAATGACAGCCAAGGTAACCTCGAGGTTCTTGAAGACACCAATACTGACAAAGGCGACCGAGGGAATAAGGTTGCCGTTGATCAAGGCGTAGACTGCGAGTGAGACGGCGGCCAAGGCGATGGGGCTGGTGATCCACATGCCAAAGAGCACAGTGTCACCCTTGAACACTTGCCAGATAGCACCGAGCTCCTTCTCACGCATATCGAGGATTCGCTTTTCCCACTGAGGTTCCAGCGCGGAGAACTTGATTTGACGCATGCCGACGAGCGCCTCGTTGACAACAGCGAGCTTCTGGTCTCTGATCTTCATCAGCTTGTCTTGCGCCCTCGAATAAATCTTGGCGTAAGTAAAGTTGATGGGGAGGAGAACAGCCCAGGCCAAAAGACCGGCGCCCAGAGGTCCCCATCCAAGCAAGTAAACGAGAAACCAAATGGCAACCGCCAGCTTCGCCGTACTACTAGGGAAGAGGAACTGGAAGGCAGCAAAGTCGGAAACGCGCTTGGCATCGACACCGATCAAATTGATAATGGCCTGGCGGGACTTGAGAACACTGTCATCTTCGGCGTCCTCGTCGTCGTCCTTCTTGTCCTTCTTGTCATCACCATTGGCCTCGCCATCCTTGGACTCTTCGTCGGTCTTGGAGGCTGCCTTCACGTTTTTGCGGCGCATGGACTTCTCAAAAATAAGGGCCGAGAGGGCGCCACGGAGAGGAATGCACAATTCCGCCCAGGAGAGCCAAAACATACAGGCTTCAACCCAAGCATCAGCGAGAATGGCCAGTCCGAGCCAAAAAACCAAGATCCAGACGTCCGCGGAGAGCGGCTCACCCGGGCGCCTCTTCTCCAAGGCAGTAAGAATCTGCAGGGTAACGAACGACGGAGCCATGCTCAAAAACGACTTAGACAGAGCAATGGTCCATTGAACGGCCAGAGGCACGCGGTACGCCCAAATGATGGACCACCAAAGATTTCCGCCCTCCTTGAAGTTGTACCCCTTCCACGTCTTAGCCGAGTCGCCAGAACGCGTCCAGTGGTCTGGCTTGGGAAGATCGTCGACCTCGAGGTCGCCCTTTTTGGTGGCGTCGTCGAGCAAGCCATTGCACCAGCCCCAAGTGTAGCGGCTGTATGCGCTGACGGTAGCCAGGCGATCAACTACTTTGCCGTCGAAGAAAACGTCCGGTCTCCTGGGGAGAAAGAGGCCGGTAACAGTGAGAGCCACAGAAGCGACCAGACCACCAATCTTGAGACCGAAAGACACCGGGTTGCTCTCCAAGAGATGACCGAAAACTTCCGTGTTTTGCAAGACCTGGACGGCGGAGAAGACGAGGCCGGAGAACCAGATCAGCAATCCGAGGTTGTAGGCGTGAACCGAGTCGTTAGATGCGGCGAGAGAGACGGATTGCAGTGCCAGCAGAGCCCAGATACCGGTGGAAAGCCATTCTGCTATGAACAGCTTGTCGTAATGGCCGGTGTGGAGCGAGAGGGTAGCTAATGTGGAGTTGGCGACGGAGAGAGCGAGTCCAGCAAATGCGAATAAGTTGATAAAAGTCTTGGGCCAGCGGTTCGAAAACGCTGCAGAGGCCTCAGGTGTGCTTTTTCCGTCCTTGTCCTCGTAAAAGTGATCCTTAGGCTTGCGGGAACGAAGTTGGAAACCTGTGAGGGCCGGAACCGAAGTAAGAGCAACGAGGCCCAAAGCAGCCCCGACCTCAATTAACAGGAGCGTCTCATCTTGCATGTTGACTCCCACGAGGAGGTTTGGGACCGCCGGGAGTTGTCTCAAGAAGTGTTGTCGAGAGACTAAGGCAGAGACGTGCGCCGTCTGTTGGGTGAGGGACGTTGAAAGGTTTTTAAGAGTGGTGGCGGTCGGAAGGCAACCTCGTCAATTGCGGAAGAGAAGACTGGAAACGGGCGAGAGGTCCACAGTGAAGTCGGGGTGGTTTGTAAGCGCTTGCCGGCGAGGGCGACTTCCCATTCGGCAAAGCCCCGTTTAGTGAGGTGTGGTGCGGTGTTGTTGAAGCTAAGGTAACCCCGGGAAAGAGGTCCACGAAGCTGTCGGCCGGTTGGGTCCTCCTGGATTTCACCGGATGGCGGGCCGCTGCTGGAAACACGAACTGATTCCACGTCTCACCGTATCCCGATCGGTACAGGTCGAGGTTGTCAAGACTGAAGAGCAGGTGCTTGAAATCGAATGCACCTGCACCCAGCACGCGTCGGAAATAAGATGGGAGAGGCACCGTTGACAGGCCGTGGGGGGTGGTTGGTCGCTGCGTTCGGTTTGGTGGGCGCCGAGACGGAGCCGGTGGCGTCGCGGCAAGGTTCGTTTCGTGACGTGACTGACTGACTGACGTCTGTCTCTGTTTCTGTTTCTGTCTCTTCCAGGTTGTTGTTGCCGACGTTGTCCGTTGTTGCGAGCACTTTTGCCTCTGTACTTGCAGTCGGGGACGGGACGGCGGGCAAGCCAAGCTTCGATCAGAAAGCGATGGCACACCGGGGAGAGTGACGATGGGGCGAATGGGAAGCAAGGACAGGCCAAGCCAAGCCAAGATCGAGACTTAGATCGGACTACAGAGGTCAAGTCAAGCCTTTCCCAGGCCTAGCTAGCTAATCGTAATAGTAAGGCACGCAAGTAACCGTTTGAATCACCAGATCCAGGCAGGTCCAAGGAAGGAACAGCAGCAAACGGCGCCTGAGGTTTGGAGAGAAGGAAGGAATCAGGAATCAACCAGCAAGAGGAGCCGCTTACCACCAATGCATTATATCTCCCAGAGATGGAAGTAGCGGCTGACGCCATTGGTGAATCACTTCTACTCTTTTTTTCTTCTACCCCCGCGTAACTATCGCATCCTGTCGCCGTCAACTCGCTCGCGTTCGTGGTACTTTTTTCCTTTCCTGTCTGTCATGGGCCACACCCCCCCGTCTTGCTCACTCCATCCCATGCCAATCCACATCCACATATTCCCATGTCCCTTTTCTGCTTCTGTTGCTGCTGACCGGGATCATTTCTGCACTCGATCCCTCCCCCCCGGTCCCGCCATCTGACGCCTCTTGCCCGCGCTTCTCCCCCACCACGGTGCCTGGAACTTTTCAATCCAGATCTACTCTGGCGCGCGCCGTGCTTCACGAGCTCGATCTGCATCAACCTGCCTGCCGCGCTTTTGCAGATGGACATGCCTACCCGACGACGATGGCGTTATCATGACTTGCAAGTTGTTGTAACACTGTGGCCTAGCAGGCACCGAGGCTGCTACCTGCATGTGTTGACGATGACGTTGGCCAGGTTGATGGCTGTTGACATGGCTTACCTAGGTTGCCGTCGCTCAAGGGCGTCCATGATCACAAACCACAACGACGCTTCGAGCACGGTGGTTGGTCCGCGGCCGCCGTTTGACTCATCGGCGGAAACAGATTATCGATGGAAAAAATGCCAAACAGGCAATGGAGGGTGGCAGGTGGGTTTGCGGCTTGGCAGAAGTTCCTCAGGACCCTGGAGGCAGGGAGCACCGCCAATCTACACTACGAATCCCCAGGACCAGTACGAACTACACGACATTACGTCCCGTCAACTGCCAGACAAAAGTACGAAAGAGTCAGACGGCTGGTATCCGTACAGACGGCGGGGGCAAGGTTGCAACCTGCGTTCGCGCTTGAACGCTGGAACGGTGCTGCCGCCCGCCTGTTAGTGCATTAGCCTGAATGCAGTCATCCTGCACTAACATGGTGCTAATGCCACCTGCAACATGCCTCCACCCTCCACCTCCTCCGGCGTCAACCTGCCCCCCTTCGACCCATCCGCTTCCGACTTGCCGGGTAGTTATCCTGGCATGAACATGCGGTCCATCGGTCTTGATGGGTGCGTCCTGCAGTGCTTTCTTGCGGCCTACCGACGGATGGGACACCAATGCTAGGCAGAGGCCTAATTGCGTATCTTGTGCAGAGTACACCAGCTTGACGAGTTTCGGGAGGACTCAGTCCTGGCTCCATGACAGGCCCCGGACCCAGATCCAGACCCCCGAGGACCGTGACGAATTCATTCCGAGACGAAGAGAAGACTCATTCATGTCTGGAATAGGCAGGTCAGAAACGTTGGTGATCCGGCCCCGTCCAACTTGGAACCTCCCACATTCAAAATTTGCGGAACACGGGTCCTAGGCCTCATGGGTAGCCCCAAACTGCGCCGCAGGCACATCACCGAGAAGAAGGGCGGTCAGCCTAGCAAATCACGGCCGGTGGATCTTCGCCCGGCCGGCGAGTTGAGTCGTGTGATGGGTCCCGCCATCCCGCCGCTTTTTTCGCTTGTGCATTCCCGCTCTTTGCTGACGCCGCTCGGAATGCCGTTTTCTCTTAGCGGTTGGTAATAGCTCACTCTTTATGCAGCCCTTGTTTCGAGCTGTCTTGTCACCTAGCTCAGGTATATCTCGGGGCGTACAGAGCACAACTGATGCCTGTCTCTTCACCACCCGTACAGGACCACGAATGCGAGCAGACCTCTCAGAGACTCGCTGTAGAAGAGAGCGAAATGTCCAGACGTCTGTGGCCTCGCGATTGCTGGAAACTATGGGTTCCTTCTCACTCATCTTGGACCTTACCTTACCCTTGAGCACCTGCCCAAAGGGTTCCCATTCGATCAGGCAGCCGCTGACACACCATCTCGCTTCGCACACTTGCAGTGCAACTGGAGGCACTCGCCTTGGAGTTTGTACTCGAACGGTGTCCCGTTATCTATCCGCCCTAAGAGAGATCAAATCTCACCGTGCTGCATGGAGGGCCACATGGGCTGATGCCTCCCAATGAGGCCCTCCCCGGTGCCCGTGTTGGTCGACGCAGCCAAGAAGCTCGGCCATCTCTACCCGATGGGTTTGACGTTTGAGTCTGGAGTCTAGTCCAACTACTCGTTTCAATCGCTTTCCACCACTTTTGTCTTGTTATTGGACTGGTAAGAATTATTAATCTCATCCGCTGACCATCATCTGCGGCAAGGAAACACCTCAGACACAAGCCACAGAAATCTCAATCTGTAAAGGCAGCCGTTTCGACGCAGCCATGCATTCAAATCGTGGTGTTCAACTCAAGGCTACAACCGACCTCGTCCTAGCATTCTTCGGTATGTGGGTGACTTCAAATCAACATCTCATGTTTCGAAACATGCCGTCGTCAACAACATAAGACGGGCCATCAGTCTGCCCATCCACTTTTCCTGCTACCCGACTCATCCAATGGGCAGCAGATCGAATTGTCGCCGTGAAGCGACACAGTCACAAAGCCTCTTGAACATGAAGTCGGACAGAGCAAGCAGCCTACTTCTTACACCCCCGGAAATGATCTTCGCAAGCCAATGGAAGCACAGGCGAGGAGTCACCGCAGGCAAATTGGAGAGCGGCATTGAGTTGCCGACGTGGTGTAACAGCGACAAATGAGCCTCCTCTGGCCCTGCGATTGGCTTGCGAGGGAGATGCATAGAATCGCCTTGTTCACCGCCAACGTCAGGAAAGTAAAGACGAAATTTTGCTTATTTGTGTTCAGAGATTGCGCAATCGCCAATCTCCACCCGAGTCCCAGTCTTTGGCGTCGTTCTGAGTCTTCAAGACTACGACAAACGGTTGCAGCGAAGTTGGCCTCACAGCTGAGAAAGATTTAAGAGTCATCACGGGGCAATCAGGAAGGTGCAGATGTTTGAGTTGACTCAGGAGATGGATCAAGACTAGCTCCTCACCCTTAAAAGCGATAGCCGCGGATGAGTGACGGAGCCGAGAGGAACTGGAGGTCAGACCGGGTTCTCGTCCGACTCTGGCCAATTTGCAAGCTCTTGCTAATACCACGATTTTGCACAAGAAGGCCGCCCGCAAACCTTCTTCTGTGGCGGAGAGCAAATCGGCTGTCGCGTTGCGGTTCAATGATGTGCCCTGGCGACAGTGAAACAAGGCTGGTCGGATGCCTTGAACCAGAATGGACCGGGCCGTCGCTTTGGCTGCGGCTGCAGCAACCTTTCCTCGGTTTGGGTTGCTGTGCTGCTGATGCTCAGCGCATACCTTTTTGTGTCTCTGGTGCATGTCGCAGGTAAGGTGAGGCGGCCCAACGGTGAAGTTTAGAGACATCTACAAAAGAACTGTGCCATTGGGTCTTGCAAAGTTTGGTGTTGCAAGAGCGTCTCTTACACTGCTGGTAGTCGACGCTGAAACGCGTCTTTCGTCCTGAGAGGGGCAGAGTAAATGCTCCCGAGGCCGAGGGCGGAGGTGTGGATTTCAGTGTGCAGCAATTTGCATTAGCCGGGCCTTTATTGGCGCTGGAGGGGGGTCGTCGGTCAGCCCTGTAGCAACCACATCTGACGCTGAGGTGGTGTTGGATGCAGCGTGGGTAAATCTGAGGCGCTCGTCTTTGCCCGCAAACATCCCTTGCCTCTTTCAGACCGGGCTGTCGATGGATGCGATGAATTACAATTAAGGTGGATGGGAGGTAAAAAAGCAAACTCAGTGATGGAAGAATATGGGAATCTCCCTTGAGTGAACGGACCGAAACAAAATGCAAGAAACAACCGGCAACTGTACCGAACACGGTTACGCCGAGCCCAGCAGAGAGCAAGCACAGAGGGGGGAGAAAGAGATGAGAGACAAACCATCTGATGACATGGAAACCGGCCGTCCGTCCCATGATACCTTATTGTGACTGCTACGCGATACTCTCGTCGTCTCTTGTTCTGGTTTTCTCAGGTAACAAGTGCATACGTTTCGACGTGTTGCGCCCACTGCCTCAAGCCCGCCGATAGTTGCGTCGATCATTTTGGAGGCCGGGGTTTTTGGTTTAATGGGTAGTGTTTTACCTGTTTCTATTCCCCCGAGATGACAACAGAAAAACCTAGCAAGGTGCCCAGGTATCGAGTAAGGTAGCTTATGTAGTGGCACTTCTGTCAGTAGTTTTAGTGGACAGTGATAAGCTGCATGCAGCTCTCATCTCATCCGCCAGCCACAAATGACAAGACACAAAACATGAGAATCGAGGATTACTACAAATGGATACCTGCGAAGGTAGGGTCCAGTAATGAAGAGCAAAGAGTGACGGGAGGAAGCAAGTAAAAATGATAGCGGGCTGAGAGGCATGGAAGTCATTAAGGTTAGCGGGCTGGTAAAGGTCGGGCTGCAGCCAATGGCACGAAGCTCGGTGAGCAAAACAGCGGGCTGACCCTCCCCCCCGTCCGAGCTCCATGATTGGCCAGAGTCGCGTTGATTGCGGCTTCATGTCCAGCACCTTCCCTGTCCTGCTCCGCTGCCTTGGCTGCTGCTACAGGCTCCTCACCTCAGCTAAGACGCTGCCGATGCTGGGCGCTGCATTCACTGCTGCAGTGCAGCGGCGGGCGGTTGGGTTACCGTACCTTAAGGTACCTTGGCGACACTGTCCCGTCGCGCCTCAGCTCAGTAGGTGCGTTAAACCGTCGTCTGAGCTCCTGCCAAACCTCCCGGTCCACGGCCACGTCCAAACCAAAGCGAACCACCTCAGAATCAAACTCCACCCGATGCGGGAACGACCTTTCATCCATTATTAGTCTCCCTCGCGACAATTTCCCTTTAGCTCTTTCTTTCGAATTCATTTTCCACCTCTCCCCCCCTTCTGCTTCCTCTCCCTTTGTCCAAACCACCGATCGTCCAACCATTCAACACGCTTGGTGGTATAAACGCCGGCCGTCTCGTCCAACATCAACCCATCATTCCCCACGGCCAACCAACGAAGCGAACCAACCTCCCGCTGCTGCTGCTACTACTACTTCTGCACCTCGAAGCTGCTCCAGCCAGCCCCGATCCGCCTTCCACCCCCCAAGCTGCTGCAGATGCTCAGGAAGCAAGCTTGAACATCCTTCGCCTGCCCACCCCTCATCCGACGCCGACGCCGCAGACTCGCTGCACGAAGCTTCCCGACTCGAATCGTCGATCCAAGCTCCTGCCGGTAAAACTTCCTCTTCGGCAACAGCCCATCTCCAACACACGTGCCCTCCCCGCCGCCGCGATACCATCGTACGAGTCGACCGCGCAGACACCAACCTGCCTCTCCCGATCCCGCACATGTCTGGCAGCAATCGACCGCACGCGCATTCACGATGAAGAGCACGCCTCTAATCATCAATTGGCATGACCAGAACGCCCCCGTCTACTCGGCCCATTTCGAGCCGCAAGGGAAGGGCCGGCTAGCTACGGCTGGAGGAGACAACAACGTGAGAGTACGTCGGATTTTGATACCCGCATTCGTGCCCCCGAGGCTGACGCTTCACACAGCTCTGGAAGGTCGAGAGTGACGGAGAGGATCGAAAGGTCGACTACCTGTCAACCCTGAGCAAGCACACACAGGCAGTTAATGTCGTCCGATGGGCCCCCAAAGGTACGATAACTAACGGCGCGGCGCTGCACCCCGGCAATAGCTGACCTTGCATTCACCAGGTGATATTCTTGCCTCTGCTGGCGACGACGGGAATGTGATCCTCTGGGTCCAGTCCGAGCACAGTGGCCCTGCCTTTGGCAACGAGGGTCTCGAAGACAAGGAAACGTGGCGCACGAAGCACATGTGTCGATCTAGCGGATCCGAGATATACGACCTCGCCTGGTCGCCCGACAGTCAATTCTTCATAATCGGAAGCATGGACAACATTGCTCGCATCTACAATGCCACTAGCGGTATGCCTCAATTTCTTACACTAATACCCTTGCGCATACGGTTGCTGACCCAAGCAGGTACCCTCGTTCGTCAGATCGCAGAGCATAGCCATTACGTCCAGGGCGTCGCGTGGGATCCTCTCAACGAGTACATTGCGACCCAATCGTCCGACCGATCCGTTCACATCTACTCCCTGAAGACGAAAGACGGCCAGCACACCCTGAGTGGTTCTCACGACGACAAGCCTTCTAAGATTGCGAGCCATAACAAGAGCGATCTGCCGCCCAGGCGCATATCCTCTAGCAGCCCTGCACCTCCAGACTTTGGTAGATCCTACCTCTCCGTCGAGGCGGCTGTGGGCTCCCCCGTCCCTTCCGCTCCTGGAACCCCGACCTCGATAGCTCTCCCGATGAACCCGCCGAGCGTGATTAGCCATAGCAGACGCTCGTCATTCTCGTCGAGGCGCTCGCCCTCTCCGGCCCCGTCTATGCCTCTGCCCGCTGTGATGCCGATTGAGCCTTCACCGAGCACGAAGCCGCATCCCTCGGGTGGCCTTGGCCCTCTCGGCACGAAGAATGCGCTTCTCTACGCCAACGAGACACTTTCGTCCTTCTTCAGGCGCCTGACTTTCACTCCTGACGGAAGCCTCCTACTCACCCCAGCTGGTCAATATCAGACTCAACATCCTTCAGAGGGCAATGCAAAGCCGACATACGAGGTCACCAACACGGTGTACATCTATACTAGAGGTGGCATCAACAAGGCGCCCATTGCTCACTTGCCTGGTCACAAGAAGCCTTCAGTCGTGGTCAAGTGCTCGCCCGTGTTCTACACCCTGCGGACCTCCCCGCCTGTCACCAAACACATCACCATCGATACGTCGTCCTCAGAGGAACCTATCCCGGCGCTCCCAGAGCCAGTCTCAAAGCCAGCAGCGGCCACTTCCGTGATGGAACCACCTCCGCCCCCGACTTCAGTTCCCGACTCGTCTACGCCGACGAGCAAGCCCGAGACCGGCGCTTCCACCCCCGGCCCTAAGGCAGCGTTCGCCTTGCCGTACCGCATGATCTATGCCGTTGCTACCCAAGACTCTGTGCTCTTGTACGATTCTCAGCAGCAGACCCCAATCTGCATCGTCAGCAACCTGCACTGCGCTACATTTACTGATCTCGCATGGTAAGTTTGCATGATGAATTAATACTATGATATGCTAACAGTTATGTAGGTCGAGCGATGGATTGACGCTTCTAGTATCCTCCTCGGACGGCTTCTGCTCCACGCTCTCATTCGCGCCAGGCGAACTTGGACAGGCTTACCAAGGGGATCTGCCGACACCCAAAAACCCTACTGTGCCGGGTGCCACACCTGCGACAACCTCATCCAGCCAGGGCACCCCCATTCCGACCCCGTCGTCAGTGTTCGCCCCGCCCTCCCCCTACCGCAATGGATCGGGCCATCATCATCGTAACTCAACGAGTTCCTTCACTGCTCCGTCGCCGCCTCCAGCCGGCTTCGTCAGCCAGAGGCCCCAGTCGCCTGCACGATCGAACTCTACTTCATCTGTAGCGACTCAGTCATCGCAGGTGGTGACTAACCCCAACCTCATCGTCGGCAGCGTTCCAGGCATCGCTGTGGCCAACTCTACCAAGGTCACTGGCGTGCCCATTACGACACCACCCGAGACCCCTCGGACTAATGCTTCTGTCCCAGCCAGCAGCTCGGCAGCAGCTGGAACAGCGTCCAGCGCGACACCTGCGAGTGGGACAAAGCGAGAGGCCAGTGAAGGGGACAAGGAAGAGGGCACTGAGCCCAAGAAGAGACGGATCGCGCCGACACTGGTGGAGCAGAAGCCTTGATGGGCATTCACATATTCAGTGCGTCTGACCGCGACATGTACAATGAATCATGGAGAAAAGCGTTGCTTGGATGCGAACATGAAATTAAGGCGAACAATGCCAGCTTTGATGAGGAGCAAAGAAGGCCTCGGCTGAGGCAGAAGTAACGGGCATTGCGAAATCAACACTCGCGAACGGATTTGTTTGCATGGCATGGCGTAGCTAGGGTATAACAAGGACGGAAGCACAAGGTTTCTCGTCTAATAAGGGAATGAAATGCCTCGTCGATAGATTTCCTTTTCAATTCCAATATTTACTCAGTACTGAAGTGTAAATGGTGGGTGACTAAGCTCACTTTAGAGCCAATCAATTGCAGCTACCTATGAGTGAAAGCTAAAACAATTGGTGCACACTAATGCATCCTCATGAGCACTCAGTGAAGCGTTTAATGAGACTCATCTCATCTGAAGCATAAGACTGGGCTTTCGGTCAATTCTTCTCTTACATCACCACCAACACTGTCATTTCAGCCTCATGGCCACCGCCAAAAGCCCCGTCAAGAGGCTTCATAGCCCGGACCTCATCCCGAATCCATTCATAAAGAAGAAGAATCTAGAGTGGTCATTGGAGTTGCCCCAGACACGGTCCCCAAACACAAAACCTGAGCAGGCCGACCAGGGGAGCCCTCCCGCAGAAGCACCATCTCCTCGATCTGGCCCATCGCTCTCCGCGGCCCTGGAATCCGGCGCCGCGTCCCATCCGGACCCGGCCTCGCATTTCTTCACACACCTCGCCGCGCACGTGCTCACCCCCTACCCAGCCGCGACGCCGCACCTCCCCCCGGCAACGGCGCAGCGGGCGCTGTACGAAAGCAACGCGGGCTCCGCGAAGGGGGCGCACTTCGTGGTGCACCAGCACGACCACCCGGTCGCGGGGACGCACTACGACCTGCGGCTGCAGATCAACGAGACGAGCAGCGTGAGCTGGGCGGTGATGTACGGGCTGCCCGGCGACGCGAACTCGCGGCGGCTGAATAGAAACGCGACGGAGACGCGGGTGCATTGTTTGTGGAACCATGTGGTCGAGACGGGGAGCTGGCATACGGGGAGTTTGGTGGTTTGGGACTGTGGAAGGTATGAGGTGCTGGAGAGGGGGCGGCCGGGGCCGGGGGAGGATCCGGAGTCTGGCGGGGGGGAGGAGGAAGAGGAGGAGAGTGGTGGGATGACGGAGCAGGAGAAGTTGGCGAGGGCGTTTGGGAGGAGGAAGATCTTGGTGAGGTTGCATGGGCAGCGGCTTCCGAGGGGGTATGTGTTGAATTTGAGGCTGACCAAGGGGGAGGATTTTGAGGGGAGGAGGAGGAGTGAGGGGTTGCTTGGGCGGCCGGCGAGAAAGAGGCGGAGGAGGGGTGGGCCGGGGAGAGGGAAGGTGGTGGTTGAGACCAGTTCTGAAGGGGAGGATGAGGATGGGGCCGGTGTTGTGCCGGACCATGGGGGCGGAGACGGAGACGGGGAGAAGGGGTTGACTGGCGTCGAGAGGGAATTGAGGGAGCTGGAGGACGAGGGAGTGAGGATGACGAACGCGTATCAGGGGGCAGAGAATAGCGTGGGGAGTGTGTATCAGAGGAGGTGGTACTTGTCGCTTGACCGGGCTGCGAGCGGGTTTGTGAAGAGACGGGGCAAGTGGGCGAGGAAGGATGATGAAGAGGAGGAGGAGGATGAGGGGAGGTTGAGATATCCTTTTTACGTGAAAGGGGTCGAGGTTGAGAGGAGCGTTGTAACGGGGCGGCTTGGGAGTGAAGTCTTGAAGGACGAGGGAGTTGTTGGATTTGTTAGGAGGAACGGGTGGAAGCCTGTCTTGAATTAAGAGTCTATAGACCACCAACAGAGGACCATTATATGGATCCTAAATCCAGCAGATACCCCATCATCTGATACGTATCGTCGAATGACCCTGGTCTTGCATCGTGTACGCAAACGCCTGCTCCTCCAACATGCGCAAATACTCCCCCGCCAACTTCCACCTACCCCCGAGCTTCACCAGACACTGCTTGATGACGGCCACGGCCTCCTCGCACTCGGCGGAGCCCTCCTCGCGCACAAGCCACGCGAGGGTATTCGCCGCGCCGTACAGCGCGTCCAGCGCCAGCGGACTAATCACACCAATGTCCGTACTATCGCCCTTCTTCCCGTCCTCGATCGAGGTCGCGAGGAGTAGCAGCTCGCGCGCCAGGTCGGCGATGTCGCCGCTCAGCCGGCGGATGCCCTCGACGGCGCGGATCTGCTGCGTCGTCTCGTCCGGGGTGCGGATGCGGCCGTTGGGGGTGGCGGGGCAGCAGTAGAAGTCGTAGAGGAGGATGGCGCTCGAGAGGAGGACGCAGCGGGGCGCGAGGTAGGGCAGGTCTGAGGGCAGCGAGGCGAGGGCGGTGGTTAGGGCTTCGGAGAGGGATGCGGCGTCGGAGATGGGGGGGTCGCGGCTGCGGACGTGGGTGAGGACTTTTGCGGTGAGGAGGGCGCAGCGGCAGAGGGTTGGGAAGGGGGATGTCGGCGGCGAGGGGGCCGGGGAGGAGATTGTGTGGTGGACTGCGCGGTCGACGCGGCCTTGGTCCTGGGAGTAGACAATTAGTACGTTGAAGCAGGTCAGAGGGAAAGGGAAGGGGGACGTTTACCCAGGCCTCGTCGTCGGCGGGGAGGGTCTCGTTCTCGGCGGGGTCCGGCGAGACGTATCGCTTCTTGTTGCCGATGCAGATGAAGCGGTCGAGGATGAGAATTGCCCACCACGTCCGCTTGCGTTCTTCCAGCTCGGTCCAGGTCGTCTACGTTGACATTAGCTCTGCTGGAGCCTGATGGTGTAAAAGGGACTCATACCGGTGAGCTGAGGAGCAGGTTCCCTTCTTGAAAGGTTGGCAGGCCGAGAAAGTCGGCATACCGCACACACGAGCCGGCAGTGATCCACGCGGCGGGGTATATCCCGTGCGCGTACTCAAAGTGGGCGATCAGCAGCATGGACTGCAGGGCCATGAGCGAGGTCGCGCCGCCGTTCTCCAGGAGTGACATGAAGCGCTTGGCGGCGCGGTAGAGCGGTATCCGGGCGGCGGGCATGTTGCTGTCCGGCTCGGGGTGAGTCGTCATGAGCTTCATGGCGAGGAAGAGCATGGCGAGGTCGGGCCCGCCTTGGCTGAGGGCGACGCCCATGTTCATGCGCTTCTTGGAGACGATGGGGAGCCAGGGGTGGATTGTGGTGAAGTATGTTGCGATGGAGGACTGGACGGATGTGCCGTCGCCCAGGTGTTGAAGGACTTCCTGCAATGGTGTTAGAGAGACAGGGGCACAGGGGACAGAAGGACGCACGGCAGGGACTTCGATGAATGGTTTTGGGACTGGCAGGTTGAGCCATTCGTATGTTGGCATGTCGAGAAATACGTCTGGAGGGAATTGAGAGGCCGTCTGTTGCTCCCAGAGCGGCTCAACGGCGGAGTATGCCGGCGAGTCGTTGTTGATGCTCGGTCCCGAGGCGGAGGGGTCCGACCCGGGACTCGGCCCGGCGCCGTTGGCCACCCCACCAGCACCGCCGGACGAGCCGCCGCCGTTCTCGTTGATGCGGCCCTCGAGCTCGGCGAGTCTCTGCTGCAAGGCCGCAAAGTCGTCCGCCGTCGGGGCTGCCCCGGCGGACTCGACGTAGTCGCAGCGGCGCTCCATGCGGGTGCACAGCCCGCAGGCCGGCAGCGCCTTGTCGCATTTGCGCTTTTGTCGTTTGCAGCTGCCACAGGCCTGCGGGGCTTTGGAGTCGGAGGGGTAGCGGTCTCGCGGAGTCAAGAAGAGAGTTGACATTGTGGTAGTGTGTTCATGGCGAACTTGTTGGTGGGGGCTTCTAGTTGGGAGATTTTGGGAATGGGAGTGAGGGTCGTAGGGCTGATGAACGGACACTTCTAGGGGTTGGTGCTAACGCGTTAGACATTGGATGTTGACCTGGGGTCATTGATCTTGTCTCCCTTTTGCAGACGTGGAAGTTGGAAAATTTGCTGGAACATGCATCTCATTGGGTGTGAAAATATTTCCCAAGTATTTTCTGGGAATCTCATTGAGATCAAGTTATTGAAGATGGCTGAAAGTACCTATGAAGTGGGCGGCGGCAGTAAGCCCAACCTCCGGCTCTTTTGCCGGCGCAGTGGGGCCGTCGCATTGCGTCCGCTTCACTACAACAACAGTGAGTGAACCTATGCTCATATCACTGCTGTAAACATCTGGTTCAAGAAAACTCAAGGAGAAATAACCACGCTATTTCAATTGAAAGAGATCTCGCCCTTGGGCTCATCAACAGTTCATTGCCAGTAGATCTCGACAACCAAGCAGGTCCTGAAGCCACCCTTTCAGCGCCGATTAGGTAATCTGCTTCGACACTGATCAACAAGATGCTTCCAACAAAGCATGATTTCGGGGATACCCTTGTCACCACCCGGACGAACAACCTCAAGAACCGCCCAAAACCGACGTTGGGCGACCCAAGAAACGACAGCAGAACATGACGCCGTTTCCGGGATGGACCCCTGTGCGCCGTGTGATGAGCACCAATTGCCCCCCCCTGATCTCCGCCCAGCTTGACGGCCACGGCCACGAACGAACGAACTGTTGTCCCCCGACAATGTAAACAAGAGGGTCGGCCGAGAGAAGTGTGAGTAATATCACCAGCCCTCCTCCTCCGACCGCTTTGCGCCCATCTTCCTCTCGATCCCCCCTCTTCCACCTTCTCGTCACTCTCCTTTGTCCTTGTCGTTGTCGCTCAGCCCAACCCCGCTGCCGCCGCAATTCCCCCTCCGCCTCCGTAATAATTCCCGCCAAAAACACCGCAAAAAAGGAATGGCTGACTCCTCCAGCCGCCCCGGCAGCCTCCGGGTCCTCCGAACCCGCGGCGGCGCGGGGCCCTCGCGAAACTCCTCCGCCCGATCCTCCGCCGTCTGGGGAGAAGACTACACCTACCTCCACCCGCCCGCGAACCACAGCAACCTCAGCCTGCGCTCCACGGCGTCGCGCTTCTCCCTCAACGAGCAGTTCGCCGCCACCCGCCGCGAGTACGAGTTCGGCGACGACGACGCCTCCTCCTACCTCGAGCGCATGACCCTCGCCTCCGAGATGATGGACGACGTCGGCGGCGGCGACGACAGCACCGTCACCGTCGGCGATCTCGCGGCGCTGCAGCAGGAGGCCGACGGCGTCGAGGGGGACTACTACGACCTGCTGTGTCTGCCCAAGGACCCGACGCTCACCCCGGACCAGGTGCGCAAGGCCTACCACCGCCTGCTGCTGTATCTGCACAAGGACGGGCTGCCGGAGAACCTGCACGCGATCGCGCAGCCGTGGTTCAGCCAGGTGCAGCGCGGCTTCGAGACGCTGATCGACCCGCACCGGCGGGCGCTGTACGATGCGAGCCAGCTGCGCGATCTGACGCACGATGTGCCCGAGTTCCCCGTCGACGAGGACTACCGGTATGCGTACGACCTGTCGCTGAAGGAGCAGCTGCGGCAGAGGGCGGCGGATGTGGTCCAGACGTCGTCGGATCTGGGGATCCGGTTCGACGTGTCCAAGGCCGTGAGGCAGAGTTCCGCGCTGACGCCGCTGGACTTTACGTTGAGCCACTCCGTCACCGTGGGGTTACCGGCCTGGGGGCGTCTTTTGGATAGATCGACGTTTAATTTTGGCCATTGCGGATCGATCGTGTCGAAAAATGTGCCGTCTATCGCGGTCAACGAGGAGAAGGGGCTTGAGCAGGCGAGGGAGTCGATGGTGTATCTGCCTCCGCCGCAGCTGACTCTGACGGGGTCTGTGTACGGCATCGTTGAAGAGATTTATCGAGTTCCGCTACCGTTGTTGGCAGATCGTTATCAGCCTCTGCTGCCACTGACGATCCCTCGCAAGCGTATTATCCAACTGGCAGAGCAGCGACCATGTCCCATGATCAGCTTTAAGTTCCACCAGGATATCATCCACCGAACGGATGAAGACCACATAGCAAAGACAACGGTTGAAGTGGAGAGCGAGGCTCTCCCAGAATCATCACTAACAGCGCGGGTATCCCACCCCATCCATCTCCCAAATAGCACGAACCCAGTCGTCCTCGAAGGGAGCCTGCGCTCGGGGAGGCCGTGGTACCGCGAGCCGCCCCGCATCGCGGTCGGCGTACACCGCTGGCTCGGCGCCGGGACGGCCTACGCCTTCGCCGACAGCGGCGACTGGAGCATGTGGCCAGGCGAGACGATCAAGTTCCTCGCCGACTTCTCGCAGGTCAGCAAGACCCAGCTGCTCACCGAGTTCCCCATGAAGACCTCCGCGAGCTTCGAGGTGGGATACACGACCTCTCCCGAGCGGGTGCCCTCGGCAGGCCACGAAGACTCCCCGCGGGGCGAGTGCGGCATCCGCGGGCTGGACTATGAAAACAACAGCACCAATAACGACGCCTCCTGGACCGTCTCGACGTCTCTCACGGCCACCGCCGCGGCGGCGTATCTCCGCTACGGCCGTGATCTGCCCCTCCCCGGCTCAAAGCCGACGCGGCTCGAAGTGGAACTCTGCTCCAACACGCTCCTGGACCGCTACCTCGCCGTCCGCAACCTCTGGAACGTCGGCCGCTTCTCCAAGCTCGGCCTCGAGTTCGGCGTCAGCCTGCACAGCCTGCACCTGTCGCTATACTGGTCGCGCCTCAGCCAGCGGCTGAGCATCCCGCTCCTCCTCTCGCCGCGCGCAGAGTACAGCCCCGCCGTCTTCTTCTACGCCAGCGCCGTGCCCCTGGTTGCGTTCGCGGCCAGACACTTCCTCGCGAAGCGCAAGCGCTCGCCGCCGATGGAGATCGATCTGCAGGCGTACATCAATCGC